CAGTTTTTGTTAAGATACACTGCCAAGATTTTATCTAATATACCCACATACAAAGAAGCTTTAATATTCAAGGAGGCCATAATTATCAAATACACATAATTAATATATCAACTTCAGTACTCAGAGGAAGAACCTAGAACTAACGTGTTGTTACACGATGCAAGTTTAAAGAGAACCTCAAAAACAGCAGTTAGTAGGCTATAAAATAAAATGAGGCAATTAAAACAATTTAACTCATTGGTGTACTATTACCGTAGAAGAGTACTTGGCTTGGTTGGGATGAGATTTATTTTCTTCATACAGCACCATGTTTTGGCTATGCTATCAAAACAGTACCCCATCAATATCAACAGTATTGATATAACACCAATGTTTTAGGTATTGCTGAGCTGCACTTGAACAGCATCAAGGCCTTCTGTGTCTCACTCTGCTCTTCCACTCCCTAAAACAGCAGGTAGGCTAAGGGTGGGCAAAAGGCTGGGAGGAATCACAGCCAGGAGAGCAGACCCAAACCGATGAAAGGGACACTGCATGCCACGCAATATGCTCTATATAAAAGGCTATGGCTTTATTGAAATGTTTGTTGCTCAGAGACTGGCCAGGAATCCCCCTACTTGTAGAAGGTAGTAAAGTGATAGCCTTTGTATTGTTTGCCCTCATTTTCTCCTTTCCTTCATTTATACCATCTCAATCCATGAGTTTTTCTTGCTTTTGCTCTCTCAGTTATTCTCTTCCGCTGCTGCAGGGAGAGTTTCATCACGACCCACAAGTTTTGCTCATTTCTCTTCCGATCCTCTCACTCATCCCACTGTGGATGGAGCAAGCAAGCACCCGGTGTGAGCTTAGCTGCTGGACAGATTCATCTCCCCCCACAAGACAAATGTTACCTCTGACAAAGCAAGGTACTGGTGATCATACAGGTCAATTTAGAAATAAGTTTAAGAGTATTTATGGTATAGGAATAACTACAGTGAATTGAAAATTTCTTATAATAGGGATTTCAAACAAAACATAAAAAGCACTTAGCTCTACCACTACATCTAAATCCAGATAGCTGAAAGCTTCCTAAGCTACCAGGACAAGTATAAAGCAAATAAACCCAGTGCAGCAAGCTTACAAATCTTTGCATCTGTTCAGACTTTATGACATTAAGAACAGAAGATCCTCAGAATTGTATTAATTGTTTCTAGAAAAATGCAAAGTACTCCTGAAGAAAGAAGCCAAAACTCGAAGTGCCACAAAAAAAACCCAAACTCATGCAGGTCCCATAGCACATACTGAGGTACCCAAGACCTACAGAAATATTCTAAAACAAGAAACATTAAATCCTGTCAGAAACAAGTAGACTAATGGAGCTTGCGTCCCAACGGTGCTAACAAATTCAAAGAATACATTATAGATTACATTAGACCTACGTATGACTCATCTAAATAATTGCCTAGCAAGCTGTGCCTGAAAAAAAAAAACCAAACACCTCAGCATTCAAGAATTTCTACACCCAGGTCAGAGAAGGTGAGCTGTATTTCACTGATTTACTTTGCTGCAGAGCTTGTCAGTGCCTTGCAAAGCCAAGGTGGCAACGGAAGAGCAAATGGGACATATTACAGTTCACAGTACAACTGGAATGAGTTGTCAAACCAGCTTACTCCAACAAGTGAGGCTGAGAGAAAAAGACCAGCACTTTTTAATTGCATCAATAGAGAGCTGTAAAAAGATGTTTGACTGGTGGGTGCTCTGAGAAAGCTACTGAAAAGATTTTTGGAACTTTCTTGGAATGAATCTCCATTGCGTCAATTTCATATCTTTCCTACTGCACTTCAGTTCCACCTCCACAATACCTCATTCTCTGGTATGAGCCTTGTTAGGGCCCAAGTAGTCCCATTAGGCTCTTCCCCCTGGGAGGTGTGCCCCCACCCTGAAAATCAGTGCTTTTCAGCAAGTCTTCCCATAGGAAGCCTTGCCACACAACTGCCCACCATGATTTCCATCATCAGGACTCAGCCACTAAGTGGTAGCTCACACTGTCCAGTTCAGACTCTCTCAGTTGCACACCACATAAGGAGAGAAGATGATGACCATGGTACTCTGGTTCAACACGTTATTTAAAATACTAGTTTTAATATTCTAGAGGAATACATCTACAGGTTGATGTGTTGTCTCAAATAAGAGAGACCTTCTTAATACCAATTCATGGACAGTTTCCCAAGAATGATAAACAATTTCTTAGTTTCACCTCTGCCAACACTATGTGAAGTGAGTTTCCATCAACATTTCAAACACAAATCTGCCAAATACTTCAATTCTGGTATCAAACCCAGAGATCAACATTTTCCTACCATCATTCTACCACTTCATCTACTGAAGTGGAATGACTGTCTGGTAAGTTCAGCTTTATTTCTTTAACAGATATTGCAAGGTAAAACACTAAATATCAACTCTAAACATTCTAAAACTTGAAGGCAATGAAATACGCACCATCATGTTATTTAAGCACTTAGAATAGTCCAGCCTGTTCTTCCAAGTTTCAATTGCTGATATTCTACAGCTTCTATAAATAAACAATCAGGAGTAGTCAAATATAGCTGATCACACCTGTGGTGGGGAACTAATCAGATGACCCATCCTTTCAGCCCTGGTGTGTACAGCTCTACTATTCATCTACAAAACCCCATAGCTTCACTGCTAACTCAAGATATTAAGTATCCATTGAAGATTACACTGGTAAGAGCTTGATAAGCAAACTTGCACAGAAGAAAAAGATACATCAGTTGAAAGAGGACACAGAGCAAGTTTTCCAATTAAACATCAATATTTAATTGGCCCTCAAAACTGAAAAGTACTGTGGTTTAAAAAGAGGGTGTGACATGAGATAACAGCAGTGATTCACCTGGAAGACAAGGAATACAAAAGCAAGAGACGAGCTAAAACCTGCACTGCAATGAGAATACATGGCATCATAGCCTTAACAACTCCTCTTGTGCTGGAAGGAAAGGTTAAGAACAGGGCATTGTGGTTTTCATTGGAACAAATCATGGGAAAAACTATATCCATCACAGAACCCACCACAAATGGCCATTACCAGTTAATTTACTGATGACGCACACTACAGCCATTCACAAACAAATACAGTAAGACAGTGTAAATCAGAACAGCTTTAATAATTTGAACTGACACATTCTCACCAGAGCCGGACCACAGAGACTGCAGAGGTATGGAGGAACAATATTGGTAACAAAGGAATTTCCTGCCACTGTAGAATGTCTCAAATCTCAACTCAACTAACTTCTGTTACCCACATGCACAGAATGAGATACTAAAAGTTTATGTAACTGCTGTCTATCAGCTTTTTAAGTAGTGCCCTTCTTTCACCAACAGCACAGCACTTCGTTCCATTCTGCTGGGGCTCATGTTCTGGTGGTCAAAAAATGAATGCATTATAACTTCTATGCCCAAATATATGCACAAAAACTTCTTACTTCCTGCCCTTCAATTTCTCTCAGATATTGTCTCTTGCAGTCCAGGGCAGAAGAGGAGGTGACATGGAAGAAAAGAGGCTACTGCCCCTGTTGAGAAGGAAGACCTTTATGCACACACCTTGTTCAACACCTGAAGTTCCACTAAACAGATGGGAAACTGGGTTTCATTTTGATTAGGCTTGCCAGAGACCTACTTAATAGAAAAATCTCTACAACCTTGCCACACACAAACTTCATTTTCTAAATGTGACTTCTCAGCAACTTTATCACAATGAATATATGAAGCTTTAAATCAGACTTCCAACCCTGAACAGCTCTTCAGAGCCAGAAACATCAGCATGCAGAAGCCCTCACTGCATTCAGCTCCAACAGCAAGCGCTCAGCTTTCTGGAGAAGGTGACACTTAGTCTTGCACCTAATCAGCACACAGTGCTATCTTCCTTTAAAATCTAGTCTGAAACTCTGTCCAGAAAGGAGAACTCTATTTTTTTTTTTCCTTAGACAGGGCAGAAGAGTGGAAAATAAACTGGCACAAGGCAATTAAGCTTGACATATCTTCTCCCCATTATATGTTATTGAAAGATATCTGTCATGTACAATTTTGAATTGTACTGCTGCCAATGGGTGTGAATACTTTTGTAGAGCACTTGGATACTATTTTTGCGACCAAAAAAAATTCCTTGGTTACCACAAGGATGCCATTTATCTATTTCAGTCTAAGTTAAGGTAGGGCTATCTAACTAATGATAGGGTTATCACAGTACCATGAAGACATCTGGACTTGTCAAGCCTGTTCTTTAATCCTTTGTCTAAATGGGCTAGACAGTTTGTAACACACAAAATAATTGTTCATACTCTTACAGTAAGTTAACAATTGAGAAGAGAGCTGTACTTCTGTATTTCTCAGCAATTATAAACCATGGCAGACTGAGGGGAGCAAGAAGGGAGTACCAAAAAACACTCCTCACCTCTTTGGTGCAGCACAGTACATACACACTGGGCTCCTACTACAGAGCTTATAGGCAGTAAAAAAAGCTAACTGTAACATGATTCAGCAAGGAGCAAAAGGACATGTTTAATTTCAAGTATCTCATTAGGAACTCATGGCTTCCATAATACTTGTTCAAGAGCTCTAATAGTTCCGTAAATACCCTGCTGAACTCAGGCCAATGCAAATGTATTTCTCAGATGTGATTATGACATCTCAGGGATGACCTTAAATGCAGTCTTACATCTTTCTCCTTCTCCTTGGGGAAACAGCAAAAGAAGCGTTAACTTACCACTTACAAATACCACCCACAACAAACCCTGCTATCTCCAGGTCTAGCTAGGTCGAGAAACACTTGCATACTAGTGATCTAGAGCGAGCCCTGGATTTTCTTTCCTCTGAGCATAATCACTATGGATCACATTCCAGCCACAAAGCAATTCAGAATGGTCTTGTATCAAAGTGCGCACCAAACATGACATGCTGCCACCTCCTGACTCAGTAGGAGATCGACCTAAAAGTTTGCAAAGACATACCAGGTAACAGCTGGACTCGGTGCAGGATACACTCAGCGCTGCTGAAACAGGACAGTCCTCTTCGTGTCTATTCGGCTCCTTGAAAAGTCATCCTGAAAAACATAGTTTTCTTTCAGATCAGCGATTTGTATCAGGTCAGAAAAGACTCCATAAGTACCGAGGACAGCACAGCAGAACAAAAGGAATGGAGAGATAAAAAGAAAGGGTCTCTCCACATCCGAAAAACATTGAATGTCCTCAGCTATATGCAAGGTCTGATATTTCAAGTGGAAGTGCTCAAACAAGGGAAAACTGCAGCAAAGGCAATGAAATGGAGATTTTTCAAATATCAACAACAGAACAAAAACACAGAGGAGAATTACCAACACAATTAGCTTACACCTATGACTTGCATGTCATGGAAACTAATTATTCAATTCTCTAGCGGTACTGTCTTGCAACGAAGCACTTCCAAAAGCATTTGTTGGGTGAATTTATTTAGAGAGAAGTTAACCCTCCTTTAAAATCCAGTGCAAGAATCACTTTCACCACGACTGGCCTGAAAATTTCATTATCAGAGGGCAGATGTAAAAGGGAAAGAAGAGAATGGAAGAGGAGGTGAAGAAAACACACAGAACAAGCAACAAACACACAAATATCAACAATGATTGGGAAAAGCAGCCAGATATCTTGGGAGATAGGAAAACAACTTCTTGGCTTTCAAGAACTCTTAATTTCTCTACTCTTTATAAATCCAGTACCATGCTGTCAACCCCCCTTCCCCCCCCACAATCTTTTATCATTAGCTTACTAATTAAATAAATTTTTGGAATAATATTTTCAGGGAGTTTCCTGTTTACACTGTAATAACACAACCAATAAACTCAGTTATTGGAAGTGCTTGGATTTGGCATACACTCAGTCCAGAGTACAGCAATTATAAACAGGAAGCACGCTACTGTCAGTGCACTCAGGCCGAGAAACAAAAGGCACACAAACCACATTTCTGCAGTTCCTGCAGTCTACTTAAGGTTCAAACCAGAAATCAAACCAAATACGAACAACAATTCACTACTCATGCCAACAAGTATTTTCCAGCACTCTCTGAAGTTTTCTTTCAGAAAATCCACATCTTCCTTTCAATAGAAAACATATTCCATGGGCTGACACAGCCAAAATTATGTCAAGCATCACAAAGTAAACCTAGAAAGGATTTTTGGCATAACCAGATTAGAGTACGGTAGAGAAAAGTGGTTATAACCTACCCCTTATTCTGCAGGATTCTAGGTAAAGGACAAGGATTAACAGTCACACAATCCGAAAGTTTGTGAGCCTTTATGAGAATTACAGACATGGTGACATTACCCAAATGCACAGGCAGATCAGCAGAATACACGAATACCATAATTCAGCTACATGAATGGCTCTCTACTGATCTGCATCACACCTGTACAAATGTGCCTTTTGAGAAGAGGAACAGCATTAAATCTTGTCCTGCAATCTGGAAGAGAAATTCTGAATCAATGGATTTTTCATCTTAATCCAACTCAGATCAATTAACCTACCTTAAAAAGGTGGTATTCCATCATCTCAGTTCTGTACAGTGCCCTGATCACCTCACAAGCTGCCCAGAAAGGTAATCAAAGCACAGGCACTATTTTCACCTACATTATGCTAGGAAAGCATACACCAATCCTAAATTTCTTTAAAAGACAACGTGGCTTGACAGAGCACACTTGTTTCATACATAAGTGGAGATGTTTCAAGTTACACAAGCTACAACAAGCCTACAACCAAGTCATTTTTCAAAATCTACTTCTTGTACAGTCAGCAACAATCTCTGCTCAAGCCTCTCACAGACAGAAAAAGGCCTGCACACAAAAGCACACCCAGATCTCACATCTGAGCTAGAACTTAGATTATTCTCAGTCACCACTGACACTCCTCACAAGCAGCCCATCTTTAATGAACAATTTAAAGATACCCATCAACCATTACTTGCAAAAAGACAAGAACAGACTAATACAGAGGTTTTAGGAAGGCCATTTAAAGGGAGAACTTCCAGTCAGAGGGTCTCTCAATTCAGTTCTGAAGCACTCTCTGCAGACACTATGGGAATTCTACATTCCTTTTAGAACAGGTTTGGGCAATGCAATTAACTGTCCCTTAAACTAAAAGGCTGCGCACCAAATCTCTGGCACAGCGAGAGCTAAAAGGAATCCCACTACCAAGCTTAGAAGCCCTTTGTTCCTCCCATCTCCTTCTGGATTTGGTATACTGCAGCTGTGGATTTCCACATAGGTTACAAACTGTTTCACTGCATCAAGGAGCAGCTCTTACCATACAATTCTTGCACAAACACCCATCAATAACATAACGGCAAAATGGCTAAGGCTGGAAGGGATTTCTGGAGATAGTTTAATCTTGCCCTCCCACGCAAAAGTGAGACTCAGAAGAAATGATTTCAACCTCAAGTAAGGTTCCAGCTGCTGTCCTCATCTGTAGATTTTTACTTTTTCCAAACATACTACATGAAGATACTAACTGTAATTTAACTTTGTGCCACACTATAGGGATGAAACCCAGCAAGAGGCTACACCTGGCTGTCAAGCATGGCCTTCTCCTAGGTTGCCTTAAAGTGTCTGCAAGATTCAAAGAGAAGTATACTGCCATGAACTGCAGCTCCTTCTAAGTGTCCTTCCCGTTAACTCACAGCAATGGCATCACCTAGTGGAAGGCACACAGCTTGACAGGTTTTCTGGTTGGTTCTCTCAAACTTCTTTCCAAAAATCTAACCTAAAGGAGGCAATAAATCAATATCACAAGGTAGCCACTGGTAAACAAAAAGGCAAGAATTGCTCAGGAATAACACAGGCTAAGTAAACCTGTTGTGTGCATTCCAGCTGCTGAATGGCACTCCATAAGCTGCTTACCCAACTGAAGTGACAAGAACATATGCCTACCAAAATTGCTTTTCAGTCTATGATTGAAGAACCGAGGAGTTTAGTGTCAAAAAAACTTGGTAGGGTAAAATCCTGAATATATCAGGAAGCATAATTTCACAGAAAGGATAAAGACTCACAGATGAGTAAATGTCGAAACAGATCACCAAAGCAGCAACAGTCTTTACTCAGATAAGAAAGCCACTACAAAGTCAAAATGCATTTACCTTCCTATCTCCTGTAAGAATCACAGGAGTTTTTTCCCCCCCCCTTCTTCACCTCATTCTAGTTTATAATAATTCACTGGAAAAGTATTACAGCTTTACAGTGATGTTTTTATCCTCCTTTTGGGCTTTGCTATGATACCTTCGAAACAAGTAGGATGATACTGACCAACAACACTGCACATTTTGTACTCTAACCTTCATCACTAGAATGGAAACATGCTCCCTCACAACATTCTAGGTCAGCTAACCAAAGGGTGTTGGGCTGACCAGATGTTTGTTACCAACTCTTCAAAAGGGCTGATAACAGCAGGACTAGGGGAAATGGTTTTAAGTTGAAGGAGGGAAGATTTAGGTTGGATGTTAGGGGGAAGTTCTTTACTAGGAGAGTGGTTAGGCCCTGGAACGGGCTGCCCAGGGAGGTTGTGGATGCCCCGTCCTTGGACGTGTTTAAGGCCAGGTTGGATGGGGTCCTGGGCAACCTGATCTGAATGTGTATGTTTGGTGGCCCTGCTAGGCAGGGGGGTTGGAACTACATGATCCTTGGGGTCCCTTCCAACCCGGGTGATTCTGTGAAAGCCCCACTCTGTAAGGGCAAGCACACACATCAGAAATCCCAAGCAAGGCATCCTGAAACTACACTGCTCTTGTAGGAGGAAGTCATGGCAGCAAGAAGACTGCTGCGTCCATCAGATGACACTAGCAAAAACCTACAGTCTGAGAATAAGAATTGCCAGTCTATAGCAGCTGTCACCACATAGCACCACCTTTCCCAAGGAGCAGAATAGTCTGGTAGAACTTCTGTAACAGGAACAAGATAGCTAATAAATACATAATCTAATAAAATACTCAGGTGCCTCCATCACCTCACAAGCTACCAAGAAAGTGAAATTCAGGCACTAACTGCTTTCACTCACTGGTTAGGAAAACACACACCAATCCTAAGTTTTTTTTAAAAGACAACATGGCTTGATAAAACATGTTTATTCTATACATAGAATCACAGAATGGCCTGGGTTGAAAAGGACTACAATGATAATCTGGTTTCAACATCCCTGCTATGTGCAAGGTTGCCAACCACCAGACCAGACGGCTCAGAGCCACATCCAGCCTGGCCTTGAATACCTCCAGGGATGGGGTATCCACAACTTCCTTGGGCAACCTGTCCCAGTGTGTCATCACTTTCTGTGTGAAAAACTTCCTCCTAATACCTAACCAGAACCTCCCCTGTCTCAGTTTAAAACCATTCCCCCTTGTCCTATAACTACCCACTCTTGTAAACAGCCGCATCCCCTTCTGTTTATATGCTCCTTTCAAGTACTGAAAGACGATTATGAGGTCTCCCTGGAGCTCTCTCTTCTCTAACCTAAACAAGCCCAGTTCCCCCAACCTTTCCTCATAGGAAAGGTGCTCCAGCCCTCTGATCATCTTAACGGCCCTCCTCTGGACCTGCTCCAAGAGCTCTAAGCCCTATACTGGGGGCCTCAGGCACAGATGCTATACTCCAGATAGGGCCTCACAAAAGCTGAGTAGAGGGGGACAATCACCTCTCTCTCCCTACTGGCCAGCCCCTTTTTTAATGCAGCTCAGAACAGTTGGTCTTCCGGGCTGCAAGTACACACTGCTGGCTCACATCCAGCTTCCCATCCACCAGGACCCCCAAGGCCATCTCTGCAGGGCTGCTCTCAAGGAGATCTTCCCTCAGCTTGTATAAATACCTGGGATCGCCCCCACTCAAGTGCAACGCCTCACATTCGGCCTTATTGAGCCTCATTAGATTATTCATGGGCCTACTTCTCCAGCCTGTCCAGGTCCCACTGGATGTTTTCCCTTCCTTCTAATGTATTGACTACGCTACTCAGTATCATAAACAGAGTTATTACAAAACAAGCTGAATGCTGCTGTAAGAAAAAAAAACAGCCAGAAAACAACTAGCTCAGCTTGAGGAAAAAAAAAAAAAAAAAAAAATACAAAGCCACAAACAGACTTCCCTCAGACCCACAAGCCATTTACATGTCTGAGAAAAATCTGGGGAAGCCCAATTCCCAGCAGTAGAGAAAGCCACAACTGCTATATCCTACTAAGGGGCCACAAGAGCTCCACCGCTTCAGGCACCCACCACAGAAATGCAAAAACACCAGACACGGGCCTCCCCCAAAACTAAGAAAGCAAGGCCGTTTCTTCCACCTCTATACCCCTCTTCTACTCTTCTTTCCTTCTTTACAGCTCGCTTGCTAACAGAAAAAAAAAAAACACTAAATCCACAAACGCAACTAAAGCAGAACAAACTAGAAGCACCCATCCTGTCGAACTCCCCTAAAAACGTCAGGACTACGCATGCGCACACTGCCTTTCTCCCACAGCGCATGCGCAACCGAGCGCCGCTTTCTTCCCGCCCACCTGCGGCGGCCGCAGCTCAGTGCGTAAACAAAGCGGTGCATGCTGGGGGGCGGGAATTGTTACGCGCTGGGAGAAGGTGCCTCCATCTTAAGCGCTGAGCGCGTCGCGGTGGCGGCGGCAGCAGCGGGATGGCGGCGGACAGCAGGGAAGAGAAAGGTACCCGGAGCTTCGGGTGGCGGCTGGGCGCTGGGTTTAGGGGAGCGGTTCGGGAGCTTGTCCTTTGCCTGAGCCATCCGCCCTTCGCGGGGCCTGCTCGGTTGGTGGCGTTGGGCCTTCGTCCTGGGAGCGTCCATGAGAAGAGAGGGGGGGCAGGAGATGCTCGCTGGGGCCGGCTCGAGGATGTGGCACGGGCCCTCTGTGCGGGCAGGCACTTTAGGGGGCAGCGAGGTGCTGGAGGTGACGGGGCCCAACTGGGGCGAGGTGACTGGGGGGGGAGTGGGGCACAGGGCAGAGAGCTGAGCCTTGCTCACTGGGTGGGCGCTTCCGGAGGCGTCCGGTTTGCTGCAGTTATACTGGGAACCACGGCCATATTTCTTTTCTGGGGGGTTTTCTGTCAAGGGCTGCGGTCATTTCAGTAAGCAGAAACTGACATTAGGTGCTTTTAATTGCATTCCTTTGATACTTTCCAATGGTTTTACTGCTTTATTTAGCTGCTGAAGGTTACTAGGCCCTGTGGGTAAATACACTTGAAATCAGTTTTTTTTTCCAGGGCAATGTATATTCTGAACGTTTAAAACTTCCTGTGCAGAAGCTTAAGTGATCTGCACAGTGCCTGAAATATTATATGTTACATACATCGTTCCTCACTAAATTGGCCTTAAAGAAGTTAAAGCATAATTCAGATGTAGGAGATTGCTGGCTGGTGGCTAGCGCAGATTATAGGCAGTTTTCTGAAAAAGGATCACACGGGGTGTGGGGTGGTTTGCATCATTTTGTATTTCTGTGGAATATACATTTCCCATAAACCTTCTTGCAGGCTGTCGAATGTCTTTGGCCATATCTCAGAATGGTGAAAGTTTGCTACATTTAACACGTACTGTGAAACCAGATCATGTTCAAAATTCCTACTAGATTTTCTTAGAGCTGACAACTAAAAGTATTTCTGATGTTTGATTCTTACCTTTATTATTTTAAAACTAGAGAGGTTAGATATAATTGACCGTTTTGAAACAGACTTGAGCTGTCATTGTAGTAAAGCAGTGAAATTGAAGTATTTACTATTGACTTTCTAAATTTCAACTTCTATAACCATGTTTTCCAGCTAGGCTTGCCCTTTTTTGTTGTTAGGATGTTTTTTCTTTCTTTATTTTTTTAATCAGTGATAGTGATAAAATCATGAGTAACAGACAAGAAGCTTTTTAGTTTTGTGTTTTAATTTGCTTTTCAGTTTTCTACCCTCAGAAAGGACTGATTCTAATTTAGTAGTAAATATTAATGCACATTTGTTTGTAACTGAATTTGTTTCTGCTGTAAATGTGATATTATTTTTATACTCTTTTCAAGAGAGAAATGCTATTTCACTGCTTAGGGAAAGTGAAAATAAACATCACTGACCCTTTCAGTTTTAAATTGCCTGGTCTTATCCCCTCTGTTTGCCAATTCAGATTCTTGTTTGGACCCTTCCTTGAATAGATCTAACTCTTTTGGCCAGCAGAGGAAAAACACTCTCCCCAGGTTACTTTCCTGCTGTTTCAGGTGAGTTAAATTTGTTCATGGAGGGATCCAACACATCCCGGAGTCAACATAAGATGAGTTGCAGGAGAGCCCAGTTGGGAGTGTCTGTAGTGAAATGGACCCATGTGGACCTTCCCCCTTCAGCAGAGATGAACTGTAAGAAATCTGTCCCTCTATTGTTTTTCTGTTTCTTTTTTTGTGCTTTTCCTGATGCTTATCTTGATCTCTCTGAGATAATTTAGCTATCTGATTGAACGCTGACAGTGACAGTGGAGTGAGTGGAATCATGTTATGAAAGGCATTTGGGCAGTATACCTGATGCAGGTGACGGGTAGGAGCTGTGTGGTCGCACTGCCCTTTTTGCGTCAGCAGGCTGCTAAATACATCTGGAAATTTCTTAGGAGTCAAACGCATCACAGAAAGGGTGGGGAAACCTTTCCTTCTCTCCTTGGGGTACTTCTTTAGGGTTCTGACTATAAATCAAGCCTACCTAATCCTGAAAGCACTTATCAGAGAGTCTGCATCAGACTTGCTTATTCCATTACATTTTTATTATTTTTTCACTTGTTTTGGAAGCAGCTGATAGGCAAATTTTTTAACACTTCTGCATGCAACTTCAGTAGCTAGGTTAATTATCTTTTACACAAGTATGCTGTTGCCTCCCTATAACAGAAATGAGGCTGAGTTTCAGTATTTGTGATCTGCGATGGGTGATACATTTAATTCTAGTACACCTATTTTTCACTAGTCTCCAGTAATAAAATCATATGTTGTGAACTTGCCTGGTCTTCTGTGGGGAATGTGATGCAATCCAGGAAATTGCAAACCTTGTTTAGCAGTTGCACAGCTATCAGCCTGTCCCTTAAATTTCTGATCATTAATGGCAAGAATATTGTATGTGGATGTATACTATCTGCAAGCATAAAGGTCTGCTCCTGAGAGAATTATAATGTAACTTTGCATTACCTTTGAATGTCCTTTTCATGCTGATGCTGAAAAACTTAACCTTCTCTGTGCACCACTTCCTTTGCATCATCAACAGCAGCTGTGCAGTTCAGTGACCACTTCTACATTCCCTTGTCACAGAAGTGCTAGGAGGGACGCTAGCATATGGTGATTCCGGTGTATATAGAAGAGAGGAGCTCAATTTCCTTTCTGGTGTGGGTTATCTTTTTCTAATACTGAGCTGTAAAACTTATCTTGTGTTACAGCTCCAGGTTTTGGTGTAAAGAAGTCCAACTTGGAGTGACTTTCTTTACTGCTTTATTCCAGTTCAGTCCTGCACAAGAATCCTGGCTGTCTGTCCGCTTTTGTTTTCTAAAGCAGAAAATAAAGTCACTGGCAGCAATGAAGAGTTAAAGAGCTCAAAATTTTAGAAAGTAGGAGAAATAATATGAGACTGCAAAGTTAATACTTTCTCTGTTATTTTCCTTACATGTGCTAGGGCTTAGTCCAGTCTTATTTTGAATGTGATTAGAGTAATGATTTGCTGTCTCCCATCCCAGGAATCCTTTTACCGGAATCACCACGTATCCCCTCTGGTTTCACTCAAAGTGAAACAGCTGGAAGCAGTGACAAGTTTTAAAAGTTGTGTGACAAGTGTGGTCATTTACTGCTTCTAGCATGGATTTTCTTTTTTTTTTCTTTTCCTGTTGATCAAAGTGAATTAGTTGTAGAGTTGTTTTAGAGCAACTCAGAATTAATTTTACGGCAAATTTGTCTTTCCACTTCTTCAGTGGGATGACCTAGCTCACGTTCTTTCTGTTGATTTATCTTGCCCTTTTTTGGCTTCTTCCTTAGAGGTATATCACAAAATTCCCTTCCTAACATGGCAATGAGAACAATAATATTAGTACAGAAGTGTGGGAATAATTTAAGCTGCAAGATCTTCAGAATTTGGAGCAGAAAGGTCCCTCCACTTCGCTGATGGCACTCAGACTATATCGCAGTCTCTTGCTGTTTTGTTGTGTTTTTTTTTATTTTTCAAATTTTGTACTGGCTTATTTATTAAGCTTCCATTTATAGGTCAACTTTCCTGCAAAGTATAGTGTGAGGAGCCAAGCTGGACCTTATTCAGGGATTTAAATGCATCCCGTGGCATGTTTTAATTCTTCTATTGGTTTTACTCAATCCGTGCATCTAAGCAAAATTTTGGAAAGAACAAAATCGAGAGAACTTTAATTTTTGCTGTGTGGTAGATTTGTAAAGGAAATGTTCTGTTTTCTAAATAGCAGTTTTACTGTAGTTTGTGTCTTCAGACTATAATTGTTCTTTTTTGTTTTCAGATGGTGAACTAAATGTTCTGGATGACATTTTAACTGATGCTCCTGACCAAGATGATGAGTTATATAACCCGGACAGTGAGCAAGATAAAAGTGAGAAAAAGGGTAGGTGACTTTTGTAGTGGATGTCTTATGTAAAAAGGTGTAAAAGGAAAAAAAAAATTGTCTGTATTACTAGGGTTAAGTCTTTGTAACAGGTTTTAGAACCTGATTCAAAGAATTAAGGAGTAAATGTCTTCCAAGGGGGTCTACTCTTTCACCTGACCTTCCAAACAAGCTTTAACTTGGTTACTTTTTGCCTTAGAAGTAATTGTGGAGGCTGCATTGTCATGAGTGTATTTGCTGTTGGAAAAGTCTGTACTGTTTGCTTTAATGAAGTGAAATGGAGCCAGGGGGTCCACAAGTCTTGTTCTAGCTCAGTTAATATGCTTTAGGCCAATATCATAAGTATTTGCTTAATGTTCCTATGTATGATGTTTGGAAAACACCTATCGAAACCTAAGGGATTAGTTGCTCTTTTAAAGTGTTATGCAAATTTTACAGCATCAGCTGTTCCAAACAAGCCTTTCTAAATGTTGTTACTGAACTTACAACTGAGTGCAACAGGGCATTTACCAAAAGTACAGAAAGCAGGAGTCTCTGTAGAGGTTCAGGTTTGCTATACAAAATAACTTTGAGCTTGATATCTCTTCTTATTTAAGGATCAAAAAGAAAAAGTGACAGGTTGGAAAACGTTGAAAGCAAGAGACAAAAGCCTTCTGTGCATTCATCGAGGCAGATGATGCCAAAGCCTCCTAGTTCATCAGTTAGCAATAACAAGAGAATAGTGACTACAAAAGGAAAGCCAGTATCAGAATACAAGAATGAGGAGTACCAGAGGTCTGATAGAAACAGACGCCCAGATGGTGATCGAAAAACACGCGTGTCAAGCAGTTCCAGGGATCCTTATAAAGGACAACCAGAAAAGACTTGTCTGAGGAAGAGGGATATTGACAGAAGGGCAAAGTCTTCCACACCAGATGGTTCAGAGGTATTAAATGTTCTTGCTGCCTTATAAATAAAATGACTGAGACTTTTATAAGGCACGTTCTCTTAGGACTGTGTGTGCATCCTAACAATGTTATGTGACCACTGATTCACTTTTTCTTTAAACATCAGAGAATGAGACATGATGTGGATAGAAGACCAAGCAGATCCAGCCATTCTTCTAAAGAAGAGGTTAACTCTGAGGAATATTGTTCAGACCATGAGACTGGTAGCAGTGGTTCTTCTGAACAAGGCAATACAGAAAATGAGGAGGAAGGAATGGAAGAAGAAGATGATGATGAAGGGGAGGAGGATGAAGAGGTGGAAGAAGATGGGGAAGAAGATGAAGAAGAGTATGAACAGGATGAGAGAGATCAGAAGGAAGGAAACGACTATGACACACGAAGTGAAGCCAGCGATTCTGATTCTGAATCTGCCTCTTTCACAGACGGGTCGGTCAGATCTGCTTCCGGTTCAGATGAATCAGGTAGGTGGCATTTAACATCCTGATCTGAAACACCTTGCCATTGAGAGTTTAGCTAACTGTAGGATACGGTTTAATGAACGTGTGTAATCTTCAGCAACACGAGTCAATAAGATATTAATATTGAAATATTGTAGGGAAAGAAGAATCCTACTGGGAAGTGATTTCTCATTATACTAGCACTTGCAGGTACCAGGACTTCTATGCTGAAGATTCATATTCTTGATTGCTTGGACCTTGTTGCTCAGTGCTTTGAGATGTTAGTGTTTTTCGTAGTTAGTAGTTTCTTAGTTAACATTTTCTCATGGCTTAATTTCCCATGCAATTCATCTTACTGGAGATAAGCTATTATATATTCATGTAGATGAGTGACCAGGTAAACTGGTGCAGTCAAAGCACTGTCTTCATCAGAGAAAAGATGATGTTGGGTAGTTGAGCAATGTCTGCCTTCTATACAGCAAGTTTGAGCGTAAGTTGAAATTATTAGCTATTAAGACAAACTTGGAATAAGAGAAGTTTTGAGCAAAAACTAGAAACAAATGCTTCTCAGTTGTTTAGTGTAACTGGTGCTGAGTTACAGATAGGAAATGTTAACGACATAAGTACTGCATTGTTTGGAGGATTTCAGGTTCACACAAACCTGCTTTCTGAGTATCCTCTGAACATTCTCCCCTAGTTGTTTCTATATATGCAGACAAAGGATTTGGATCAAGTAAGCCTTGAGAAAGGTCATCTCTATTGTAATTGCTGTACAGTGGAGAAACTTCAGTACAGTGTAAATTTTTCTTAGAAGAAGCTTACTGCATTGTTGAATTTCCTCTTGTTTAGCTTCTTGATCTAAAGTCTTCATAGGCAGTCCTGCTTAACATCTGTGTTTTGATTCAGCTTTGTTATTTGGAATTATCGAACAGAGGAGTATAACCTAAAGACAAGTAAATATGTAATAGTTACTCTGAAAAGGTCTGTAGTATACCCTTTTTTTAGAGTGCAACTAACTGTGTGCTACAGTGTTTTGTTTTCATACTTCCTGACATTTTGTTAAGCTTTGAGCAAGCAAGTCCATGTCACTGTCAAGAGTTTGTGCTCTGTAAATTTTGCTGAAGGCTGAAGAGAAGAACTAAACAACCCTTACTAGAACACCTAGGAGATTAATTCTGTCTTTCAACTTTGCATGCAATTTCTGGGTTTGTGGCATTTGTCTTTTTTTGTGAATGTAAAGCTTTTGCATATGCAAAAGAAGCAAATGCTGCTTTGGAAGCAGCAACTAGGATTTTAATGTGTAAGCTAAGTGCTAACTTCACCATTATGAATATTTGCCTATTTTGATACTTTGCATCTAAATTTTGCTTGTTGCATAATGATTAAAATGTTGCTATTCTTTGGTATCTTTTTCTTTAGATGAGAAAAAGAAGGAAAGGAAGAGAGCTAGAGGTATCTCTCCAATTGTTTTTGATAGAAGTGGAAGTTCTGCATCCGAATCCTATGCAGGTATTCTTTCCTTTTATTGCTTGTTGTCCTGACTTGCATCAAGTCTTAATGAGTAGTCTGAAATAAATGTAACTGGCTGTAGAGATTTATGGGGTATGTAGCTTTGTATAATTTAATATTGACTTCTAGCATGTTGTGTGTGGGTACCTTTCGGGGAGGTGGGGGGAGGATGTGGGCTTTCTTGTTACTTTAATGCTATTCTGTTGCTTAAGTGGAATTTTCACTTTTTTTTAAAACTTGGAAGATGATGATTCAGTGACTAGTTTTCTGAGTAGGAAACTGTTCAAATACTATTTTAAAAAACAAACCCAAACCAAACAACCCAAAACCAACCAAACAATTAAAACAAACAAACACTCGTGCACATGGAACAGTATCTTTTTGTGTGTGTGGGTGCGCGCCAGAAAGCGTAATTTGTCATGAATGAAAATTGTATGTGACAAGGCTGTAGAAATTGTTTATTATCTCTATTAAGGCTCAATCTGAACAAAATGTACTTTGGCTAAACACAGGTTCAGAAAAGAAGCATGAGAAATTATCATCTTCCGTTCGTGCTGTCCAAAAAGGTATCATTTAAATTTGAATTCTTAATGCATGCTCCACAGCAAGCCATTGTCTCTGTTCATTAAATTATGTGTAAAGAGTAATGTTCCGATATAAAGCATTTTGAGCCCGTAACGGTGAGCATAGCGAGTAAATCTTGAGCTAATTTTGCATGTGTTGAGAATGTAATGCAAAAATTTCAGCCTTTTTTCCTCCTCACAGAAGCATCAAAGCAGAAAAAAGTGCTTCCATGTAAGAAGAGGACTGTATCAGTAATATCTGTTGGAGGATTAATGTTGTTATGTATGTTTCCTGATATTCATTCAGGGAGTCTCAAGGAAGGAAATAAGTCCTATATATCGGAACATCACTGAATCCTGCTAATTTTAGTTCTTTCTTTATTTGAATATCTTAAGTTTTAGTTTGATTTCCCTTGGCATTTTGTACTATACAGCTTAGATTTCAAATTTGAAGTTGGGTGGTTGACTGTTTTGATACATAGGTAGGAATTGGGTGGGATACAGTCTATTTCGAAGGAGGCAAATAACTATCTATACTTACAGCAACATTTTTGAAAACTGAATTGTTACAGTTGAACTTACTTTACACTTTTTTTTTCAGACCAAACAAGTAAACTTAAATACATTCTCCAAGATGCAAGATTTTTTCTCATCAAGAGTAATAACCATGAAAATGTTTCACTTGCTAAAGCTAAGGTATGTTAATTTTTCTTGAAACTGATCACTTTGAGTATATTCAGACACAGCTTACTGTAAAAAAGCATACTGGTTGTATGGGAACTGCTGAGTCACGGCCTGAACATCCGATTGATCACCTGAGGCAAGCCATGAGCCAGCCAGAGGAGCACAGGTGAAGGCAATTCACCTGTGCTGCCAGAAGGGGTGGAGCCAGGCTGCACCCCTCCTAGACCTGTTTAAGAGCTGGCTACCAGTGGGGAAGGATCTCTTCCGGAGATCTGCTCTGCTGGTGTTTTGTGGGTGAGTCCAGGATAGGGGTAAGCTTTCCATTTATTCTCTTTTGTTATCATAGTCTTCTTTGCCTAACTCTCTTGTTTATTTTGTGATTATAACATCCTAATATTCTTTGATTATACACTGGTACATGCATGCTTTTTTTCATTACTCAGATCTTAGTAGAGGTGATGATGAAAGCTAATGCTCCCTGATTCTTCAGGGTTAGCAAATCTGCTTCCACTGTAACCCAGAGAAGTTTTTAGGCCATCCGTTACTGTTCTTGATAAAATTAAAAAGGGGCCTTAAGCCATGAGTGAATGAAGGCTGGAGTTTAATCTGATTCTGAAAATGTTGAGGGATCAGCAACCACTGGATAGCTGGTTCAGGAAATTTTTGAAAGCTTTTTCTCCTTTGTTTGGTGCTTCTCTGAGGTACTTTAGCCTTATGGTATTTTCTGAGTGAATCTACAATATTCTTCTGTAAATCCGATCACTTTAAGTTGTGACCAGTTGTGAAATACAGTGGATATATACAGTGTTGTCATTTTTCCATGCAAGACATTAAGTTCTAGTTATTGAAAAGAACTTAGAATACTCGTAATTAGTGCATTGAATTTGTTTCATATGTTCTGGAAAATGATTTTGTCTTTTTTGAAAAGCTGTTTTTATTTAAAAAAAGAAAAAAAAAAAAAAAGAAAAAAAAAAAAGAAAAAAGCTATTGTAGTAATTGTTACCAGAATATGGTTTAGGGCAAGTGGTTCTTGAACAAATCCAGCACTGTGGGTCTCCTGGTTCTGTTAATTTTGAGGGAGCTTTCCATTTTCAGTGCTATGGTACTTTGCAGTTTTCACTTTGTGTTAGATCTTTCTCTGTGATCAAATAAGTTTTGTACATGGTACAGGATAGTCTGTGAGAACGTGGGATCTCTGGTGACGCTGAGCTTTTGGAATCTGTAGTGTGCAGATAGATTTTTGTCTGGGCACAGCACTGTTGAGAAGTTGCTGATAGAAATAGTTTGGAGGGGTGAGCTGCCACCCTGGCTGTTGCTTCCTTAAGGGTGGAAGTTCATTGAGTGGAATTGTACACGTGTTCCTTATTGGAGCATAGGGCTTCTTGTTTCTATGGGTTTCCTCCATGAAATCTTGGCGATGTGATATTACCTGCTGTTCTGTCTGTATCCATCAGCTGCTGTAAAGGCAGAGCAGAAAGGATGTGTAAGTATTTAATGTTGTGTGATTCACAGCATTTTTAAGTTGACTTTTGTGTAGCCAATGTAAGAAATTGCTCTGTCTCACAGTATGATTTCACAAACAAACCTAAAACAATGAGCATCTGACTAAAAGTGGGTAAGAAAATCAATAGTTTTCTGGTGACTATTCCAATGAATTGGCTTGTCATAAAGTCAGATAAGCAGTAATTGACCATAGTGTAGGACATAAAAACATGTTACTCTGTCCTTTCTTTTTGTTGAAGACCAGTTTCTTTATCTACAGAAAATATTCTGAGGCTGAAGCTTGAGCATATTAAGCAAGCATAAGCTTCTCTTCTGAACTTGTTCTGAGAAATCAAATGGAGAGCTGATGTTGCGGAACATTAGTGCAGCAAAATGGCTATTTTAAAGCTCAGTTGCCTAAAAGCAGGTTGAGGGCTTTTCTGCACATGGCTGCACAAATGTCTGGTGGAAGGTAAAAGGTAGGAATTAGCCAGTGAAGATGTTGGATGCTGAACAAACTATTTCGAGTTGTGTTGGTGTGGTGTCTTTGATATCTGTGCATTTGCTAAAGGAACTTCAAAGCCTGCAAGATCTCTGCTAATCTATCATGCCAACAGGGTCATTCAAGTCTGCCTGTCCACCTTTTGTTTATAGAAGTCTTTCTGAATCTAGTGCCTCCCGTTTATTTCCATGGAAACAACCTCTGAGCACAGCAGTGCTATTTGATAGAGCAAATGCTCAGCTGAAAAATCTTGTTTTTTCAGCACAGTCACAGCCATTAGCTATGCATTTTCACCACCAATGAACAGGAGCCTGCATGCTGTTCTCATCCAGGTCTGTGCCAGCAGAGGTGACCTGCTGTTGCCACTGCTGAAATGCATCCCCCACCACCTCAGTGTGCTCATGGCCACTGTTTGGTCTCTATCAATGTTCAGCAAGCATTGATGAATGTCAAAGAGCATCATTTTTTGTGCATGGAGAAATTTATAACAAACCTTAGCTTCCTATACTCTTCTGTGTTAGACACTATTTTGTCAGACTGTCCCTTTGCTGCCGTATGTTGCACAGCAGCAAAATGTGGTGGGAATGTTCACTGCCGTAACACCATCATCCACCTCTGATGTTGTGGGTCAGTATCATAAGATAGGAAGCATTGCTTTTGAAGCATTCTTCATAGATGCTGCTTTTTTCCCCCTAATATATGTTTCCTTGAGGGAAAAAAAAAAAAAAAAGGCAAAAAACATGAACTCCCAAAGTTACTTAAAACACAGCTTAAAAATCCTGAAGGCAGACGTAATCATCAACTGTTGTAATTACAAATGAAACCTTATAAGTGGTCAATGCATCTACATTGTTCAAAAAAGATGAGGCAACTTTTTTCCGAAGGTTTTATCATGAGACAGGCTAAAAGTGTTTTCTGAAAGAAGTAATGTTAAAAATACCATTCTTTTTTTTATTATCTTTTTTTATCTCTGAACACTAGCTTGGTCTTGTTTTCTTCACCTAAGCTATGTACTTGAAATCTTCTGTCAGCTGAACCACTTGACATTAACTCTTCTGGTGGTGGGTTGGGGATTGTTCTGTTTTAGGGAGTATGGTCAACCCTTCCAGTGAATGAAAAGAAACTTAATGCTGCATTTAGATCAGCGAGGAGTGTCATTTTGATATTTTCTGTAAGAGAGAGTGGCAAATTCCAAGGTAAGGGAGATGAGCTTTTAGTAAGGTAAGTGAAAGTGATGTTTTGTGTGGTAGCTTTTCTGTTGTTAAAATTGATGTGAAATCCCTAGGATTTGCAAGACTGTCTTCAGAATCCCATCATGGAGGATCACCTATACACTGGGTGTTGCCTGCAGGAATGAATGCAAAAATGTTGGGAGGTGTCTTTAAAATTGACTGGATTTGTAGGTAAATAATTGTTTATTTATGTTTCTGTTTATTAATAATATGCTGTTATTATCATTTATTTATGATAATAAATAGATGTATTTTCCATCCTTCATGTACCCATGCCCTATGTTGTTGAGCGTGGTACTCAGATCTGTACCTGATGTACAAATATTTTTTGTTGTCCATTAATTAGCTTAGAGATTTTTAACACTTGAGTATTTTCTTTTACTAAACTCTAGCCCTGGAACTAGGAAAGTATATTGTGAAGTTCTTGATGAGAGGCAACTGATCGCTTGATAGACAGCTGTGACAAACAGCCATCCTTGCAGAATGCTTTTTCCTGTGTTCATCTCATGTATGTCATCTGGCTGAAGAAGGGAAATGCTAGTGTTCAAAAATAAGTTGAGATGCTTGCATTACATATAGGGTGTGAGCAATATGTTCATTCCTATAATCGAGTAAAACAGAAAATGTTACAAGTCTGAAGAAAACAAGCTGTATTGGTCCCATAAGTCTTAATGCACAGTTGCATGAGCTCTGGTGCTGGCAGAAAGAAAAAAACGTGGAGGAATTTTCACTTGTAATTATGGGAAAATCAAGGTTGGGAAGAACCTTGGGAAGTTACCTACTCTAATGTCAAAGATATTTTAGCTTGAGAGTAAGATTGTAGAATCATAGAATGGCCTGGATTGAAAAGGACCACAGTGATCACCTAATTTCAACCCCCTGCTATGTGCAGGGTCGCCAACCACCAGACCAGGCTGCCCAGAGCCACCACCCAGCCTGGCCTTGAATGCCTCCAGTGATGGGGCGTCCTGGATTTTATTTCAGTGACATTGTTATATGAAGATACTGTGTCTCGTACAGACTGGTCAGCATATTCAGATTGTACTTGTCTATTATTGCACGATCTCAATATTTTATAAAGACGAGCATTTCTTTAATGAAATGGACTTATTCCAGTATTAAATAGGCTGTCATGGGATGGACTATACTATGTGAAATCTTGAATCCTTCTGGTACTAATACATTCATTCAGAGACATGCCACTACGAAGGTTAACAGAATTGTTCATTATGCTATGTTTTATTGTACGAGTTATTATTTAAAAGTAAAAATATGAGGGCAAAACTGTAAATAATACCACTTGCATATTTAGGCGTGAACTGCCGTTCACTAAGTCTGCTCATCTGACCAATCCTTGGAACGAACATAAGCCGGTCAAGATTGGACGTGATGGACAGGTTTGTTAATGCTGTTTTTTGTTTTGGTTCGTTTTTTGTTTAATAATTTGCCTCTTCTAGTGCTTGCTTAGTTTGTACGTATAGAAGATTTGGAATCTCTTTAGATCACTTACTCGTCGTTAGAGTACTGTGACAAAGGCATTCATGTCATTTCTAATGCTGTTAGGGAAGAAGGAAGAAGTCCAAAGCATGCTGATGTTCTTCTTTGTGATAAACATGTTTGATGCTACAGAAGTGATATTTTTGAGATTGAAATATGTCATGAATTGTATGGTGTGTAAACCTGTATAGCATCAGTTTTTTTAAGAACCAGTTCTGATATTTCCAGCTGCATTCTTCATTGTGTTTTTCCTTTCTCCTGTTTATCTTAGGGCATAGTCTCTAGCGTAGTAAAGCATATGCTAGTAAATGGTAGTGAGTTGGGTTTTTTGTCTTGTCAGACATAATAGAGTGCAGGCATGTTGCTGCTGGAATTGAGTAACCTTGATTTTAAAATAATGAGTTCTGCTTTCCAGAGGCAAGATGGGAGTTGTGTACTCACCCATACTGAGTGGGAAAATGTGTACTTCATGTGATGTTGTTGGGTTTTTTGTTTTTGTTTTTTTCCTCATAGACGCATTTACTTTGTTAGGTAGTAGAAGTAAAATAGTATCTTCTGTCTTGTTCAAATTTAGTGGGTTTTAAAAAATATATATATTTCCATTAACGTTTTTCTTAAATGATCAAGGTAAAATACGTGTATCTATTTAATGTTTTATGCACTTTGCTACAGAGTTGCAATCTAGATGTGAGTTTTTAATTTTTCATAATACTGCTGTACTGTTAGGTACTGAACAAATGTCTGATGTTTGCTTTTCTAGCTTTTCAACTTGGGTTATTTCTTGAAGTTGTTGTCATTTATCCGTCTACGTTTTGTGTAACCCCCAGTGGATCTCTATTCTGAGGATGTGTACTCTTACCCTTAGAACTCATGTGAGATTTTTATATCTACAGCATACTTCCCAGGACGCTCCTCAGGCCTGCTAGTCACCAGGCTGAAGAAAACGCTTTCTTCAATTGTTTTGCAGTTGTTTCCTGCTATCTTCATTTAATAGCCCCAGGTTTTTATACCAGAAGAAGTGGTCAACAAGTTTCTGTCCCTCTCCTCCAAGCAACTCAGTGTCACTCTCCTCTTGTAGCTATTGTCCTCCATACCCCAAAGATTTCTCCTTTTTTCTTAGTCTGAACAGTCACAACCTGTTCAGTCATTCAGTATAAGGATTGTTCTGCTTCTGCAGTTATCCACATCACATTCTTTGAAGTTTTTCCAGCTCTTCTGTCCCTGTACCACTGCCTTTATTTTTCTTTTTGTAAAGATGAAGGGATCAGAACTACACCCCAGGAGTAGGTGGAACATGAACTTTCAGTGTGGTATAATGATTTTAATGATTTTCTTGTTCTCTCTTCTTTTCCTAATAACCCTGACGTGTGATTTGCTTGTTCTGACTGCTGCCAGGTGTTGATCTAGTACTTTTCATGGATCTGTCGATCACTGACTGACGAACTCTTTTTTGAGTGGTAATAGTCAATTTTATCAGGCCATGGATTTTTATGTGAAGCTAGGATGGATTTTTCTCCTTCTACATGTGTTGCTTTTCTGACTGTAATAGGTGATCATTTTCTTTATGGTGAAATACAGTCCTCTGATATTGTAGTAAAACAGTGGTGTGGCCTGAATGCCTAATGGGGAGATAAGGTTGCCCTGGGAGTTGGACTTTTTTATTAAAAAATTTTTAGTTCAAGAGTGGAAGGTAATGTAAGTGAATGTTGCTTTGTCTCTGGTGATGCTGAGGTCTGAGCTTGTTTTGTTCTTAGGGGATTTTTTTTTTGTTTTAAATATGTATTGTTTATGTAATTGAGGAGAGTTTTTCTTATCTTGGTTTATAAATCGCTACTGAACTTCTAACTAATTGTAGGAAATTGAGCCGGAATGCGGAACCCAGCTTTGTCTTCTGTTCCCTCCTGATGAAAGTATTGACTTGTATCAACTCATTCATAAAATGAGGCACAAGAGAAGAATGCACTCACAGCCCCGATCAAGAGGACGACCGTCTCGTCGCGACCCCGTTCGGGACGTGGGAAGGTTAGAAACGTTCTTTGGACTGATAATAGGCACATGTATCAGAATAACGTGATGGAGGAATGTGATTCGTCAAAGCTTTCCCTGCGATAAAGAAGAGAGAAAATCCTCAAATCAAGCTGCATGGACAAGTTTGTGGCTTCATTGAGGATTTCACATGATTTCCCGGTCTGTCATTATTCAAGAGGAAAATGGGGATCTTTGTTTTTGCAGAAAAAAAGGAAGCTCTTAAAGTGCCGTCTAGTTTAGACCAGATAATTTATTGAGATAATGCAATGTGTAACACTAGCTGTAGGTAAGCTTGGCATTATTATGAGGAGGGTAGATGGAGAGAAGGATATATTTATATGCCAAAAATGTGTTAATATCTTGTAAAAGCCTTTTCTTTCAGGTGTGTCTCTGGATAAGCCTTATCAATTATGGGACTTTTATAAGGATCACTGATAATTTTTCAGAAGATGCCGCCTCATTTTGAGGATAAAATATTTAATTTATTTTGATATTCAAGAGGAGGAGCATTATTGGGACTGTTTCAAATTGTGTCACCGTGCTGTGTTAACCCCATTGCCAGATATTCTCTAACATGTAACCACTGAATTCACACATCTTGCTGAGCTTCTGAAAACAATAGGTTCTTTCCAAAAGGGATCGAGTGGCCCTTGGAGACCCGGCAACAAACCAACAGGCTGTTGCTGTGTCTGTATATACAACCTTTCCAGATGCTGGCAGTACCTGTGGACTTAAAGTATTTTTAGAGGATCGACATGGTTATTGATCACTGCTATATGAACTTAACATCATTTTCCAGGATAAAAGGGGGTGTAACTTGTTACAGAATTGGAGAAGTCTTTGCAAAGAACTGATATTAGCCCTTCTGCCAAACACCTTTTCCCTGTGTAGCCACTTTGCATACAGACTGATGTATGATTTGGGCTGAAACCTTTGGTTACGTTTCCTCTTTGTGGAAACATCCTGTGGTAGGTACAGATACCTAACAAGAGTCCCCATTTCCTTGATCTTAAAAAATAATAAAAAAAAAAAAAGGACACTGTAACGAGTAGGTAGGAGGAAACCTGGCAGCGTCCCCTTATTTTTGGCTTTAAAGGACTGAACACCAAGATGGCTTGTGAAGTTAAGCTAAGAGGTTTCCAGTGCAATAAAGTATATACAAGTGAAGGTTTTGCAATGGACTGCAAACTATACATATAACAGCAGCACACCTTCTCATGCCTGCCAGGGCCTCCATTTATGTATGTGGCTTACAGCTAAAAGTCAGTAGTTGGACTACTATATGAACTGTTTCTATCATATTTTATACCGGTCGTAAATGCACTCTCAAAACTACAAGAAAGCGGTATGTTTATTCTTTACACCAGCTTTTGTTTTTCTTGATCTGATTTTACTGTAGATGCAACTGTTTTGGTTTTTGGGCTTTTTGCTCGTAGAGGAGAAGCTTAGTAACTGGGTATAGTGGGCTTTAAAAACTGAAATTGGGAAGGGGGAGGAAAAATGGCTCTTCATAAAAAGAAAGCTTGTTGCCCAGCGAGCAAGTTGCACAGTAATTAAGCATTACAAGAAACTATCAATTTCCTGTCTTTGTTGTAAGTGATTTTATTGCTCATTGGGGGAGGGGAGAGAGGGGTATGTAGCTGATTTGTATAGAAACGCTTCTGTGTTAGCATTGGAGTCTCCCATTAGTGTTTATGTTCCTTGACAAAACAGCATTAGCAGCCAGTTTTTGGTTCTGTATTAAACAGTGACTGGGATCTAACTGTTTCATGAAGAAGCTTCCTCCCTGAGAATAAGATTCTCAGGTAACAGTTCTCTTACAGAAAAGGTGGCTTGTGTAGAAGAGAGCCCTAATTATTTTAATTAGGGAGCTTAAGTGTTCTTGAGCTTCCTGTTCCAATGGCATTGATGCATTACTGGTAAATTGGTTAGATCAGAAGTCATTAGAAATATTATTGGCCTGCCTAGCTAAACAAGCTACAGTGAAGGAAGCCATTTCACAAATAATGTACGGTTTTATTTAAAATGTACAAAAATAAGCCCTCTCACACCATAGCTGGCAAATATAGTAATATTAGTGCCTTTTGACTGTAATTATATGCTTTACCATTTATTTTAACTGGACTTAGAAGTGTAAATTCTGTTGTCCAACAGACTAGTTCAGAATATAGAATGGAACGTATGTTCAAGCATGAGTCTAAGTTCTGTTTTCAGATGAAATTGTTACCTTTTGTTTGTTACAGAGGTACCAGTGGGTAGAGTTCCTTTCCTAACTACTGAAGCACTTGTAGCCAGAAAGTAAAATAGGAAGGGGTATTTAATTTGATTGTAGTTCTTGATTACTTGAGATCATACTTAAGCTGTGGAATGTTTTGAATTAGATGGAATTCAGAATGGTTAAACGGAGATTCTGGGCAGCTCAAGATATTCCTTTGAGGTATTCTGCTGTTCTGAATGCTCCAAACAACCTTGTTTAATCTCTGATATCTAATTTATGTAGGCGTCGACCAGAAGATTATGATATTCATAACAGCAGGAAGAAACCAAGGATTGACTATCCCCCTGAGTTTCACCAAAGACCAGGTTAATATCTTACTGTGAAGATTTCTGTGCGCCAGTTCACAAGTGTTTCCTAGTGCATCCTTATAAATTCTAAATGTGTCCTTCTAATGTGGCTGGGATTAAAAAAAAAAAAAAAACCAAAACCAGCAAAGGATTTGTCTTAAGTGCTGCTTTTGGGTTTAACCCACCTCTTGCAGAATTCCTGTGGCACTAACTTTACTGGTTTGAGTGAGAAATAAGTTGTTCTGTACTGTGCCCTTTTAAGAATCTCACAACTGTGTAAATTTTTATGCACGATTCTCTTTTAAATGTGGTTAGTTGAAATGCCTACCCATCACTAGAAATAGTTTAAGCTACTTGTCAATGCAGTAATTGTCAAATTAAAATGTTTATCAGTAATTTCCAGCTGAAAAAGTGAGCTGAGGTTGCCTGAGTAGCAGGTTTATTAGATTACATGTTCAATTGTATTTTCAGATATATTTTTTTTTTTTTCTTTTACAAGCTTGACATGAGGAAGGGAAAATAAACTTTTACTGCCTTTTATGAGAGGGTCAAATCATGAATGTGGGAAAGCAATTTTGTTACTTTCCGGAAAAGTGTTTGCAATGGTAGTAGAACAATAATATAATTATGCAATGGTAATATTGCAGATTTTTATTTTTCTGAAAGCAAATATTAAAAAATGGTCAGTTGTAATTGCATAATCTTGCTTCACTGCTATTGGGAATATATGTCCCACTATTTCAGTAGTAGATCTCTAAATCTTTCCTAAGAATCTGCTTTTATCTATCCAGTTTGACTGCAAGTTTAGTATTCTTTGGAGAAAAAAAAAAAAAAAGTGTTGTTGCTTCCTGGCTTTTCAACACCATTATTTAGGGTTCAGAACAAAAATGTAAAATCTAATGAAACTCAAAGGCATTATTTAATTAGCAATATAAGCATGCCTGGTGTTTTGCACTATTTTGTGTAGCTGTAAAAAGTCCCCATTCTAAACTGTTCTTTATTCTGTGAGGCTTTTCCAGGTGGTTTTACCTTGTTTGTTTTTTAATTTTCTGCATAACTGTTTGTTCAAGACCTATTAGGAAATTGGTCTTACAAATTGCTGGGAATAGTAGGATTCTACTGATTGCGTAGTTGTTAAGTAGCTGTGGCCATGTGGTGATTGTCTGGGCACAGTCCTCTTCAAGCTTGTGGGCATTCCCAGTTTATTTGAATAAAATTCCATGTCTTTGTTTGCATAGGTTGTACTGTGTGCAAGTTCCTATGCGTGTATATATATATTATATATGTAAAATACAATTTTTGTTACTATGTTATGCTACTTTGTATTGTCTACAAGAAATTGTAAGTTTTCTATAGCTATGTTGAAGCTGAATACAATGGGTGTTACGCTATAATTTAAAATTTGATAGCTGGAGAATAGATTCTAATTAGTATGTATTTAAAGATTAATGTCTTGAAATAAATTAATACTGCTTGATGTTTGAACAGGGTATATAAAGGATCCCAGGTATCCTGAAGTAGACAGGTAAGGTGTGTTCATGCTATTCTTATGTCCTGGTAACTTGTCCGAATGGATAACGTGAATTTAGTTCTGCAAATTTTTATTCCCAACAGACGATTTTCAGGAGTTCGACGAGATGTGTTTTTAAATGGGGTAAGTTTGTGCATGCTGATGTCGGGGGAAGTTCCTATATTCAGCTTTCGGCAGTTCTGAAGAACTCCTGTCACAAATATTAATATCCCTATCTTTCATTTTAGTCCTACAATGATTACGTGAGGGAATTCCACAACATGGGACCACCACCACCATGGCAAGGAATGGTTTGTGTCTTATTCAACTTTGCCTTTTTCTGCAAAGCATGGCTTTTCTGTACCCTGCTATAGAAGCCTAGTGCATCCAATCTGTGCTCAACCCTTCCCTTTTTCTAAAATGTAGCTCTGCTGTAAATGCTGTAATTTATATCAGCTATTTGTATTTTTACTTTACTCTCACTAGTAGTCTGTCATTCTAGTCAGTAGTACAGCAGTGAGAACATGACTAATCTTGAACCTGCAGGGAGCTCTAAGCTCAGAGGAGACAACAACCCCTTCTTTTAGCCCACGCAAGAGGGTGCAACAAAATTTTATGTTCAACTAAAGATTTGTAGTAATGGGTTTTCTTTCAGACAGTAGGTGTTTCAGAACTGGACTTGCTGCATAGGATCATGGCATGTTGAGGTGTTACACAGTGGCTTGCTTTTGGTTAGGGCAGTGAAGCATGTGGAAAAATAGCTGAGCACACTGAACAGCATGATGAAAATAAAACATACTGCACTAAAATGCATTTCTTTCCCTGTCCAGGTGAGCATATATGTGAATACATGTACTTGCAGTTATGTACATTGAAATTAATTACTTAAGTACTTAAATTCAGCTTTGGTTTCTTCATCCAGTGAGGAGAAAGTCATTTTAACTAGTTACTTTGTTATGACCTAGAGTGAGGGTCATGATTTTGTCTAGCTGTAACAAGTCTTCTGGCTCTTGTGTGTATTGTGGAAGCAAAAGGATTTGTGGTATGTGGAGATACCTCTCATTTTTGCTCGTCTGAGACACAGCCCTGACTTCTTACAACTGAAAGAAATGAACAAAGTTGTTAGACTTGGTGTGGTTTATCAAGCACAGCTAAACCTCCAGATTTTCCTGTCATTTTTCCCTTTCCATTAAGCATGCTGCATAAATATCGTAAAAGCCAGTGCTTCCACCTATTTGTTTTGTGAACAGGAGTGCAAGCCAAGATGCTTCAGTAATATCTGAAAGAAATGATTTGATCACTTAAAGAAGTGGAGTAAAACAGCAAATAGATGCCTTGTTTTAAATATTAATAATAATATAATCAACTAGCATTTTGTTGAATAGTTTGCCTTGCAGAGTAAGCTTATTCATGTAAAACAGTATGTATGTGTAGCCATGGCACTGAAAAGAATCTGAGAATAATTTACTAGTTTGGACAAAAGATTTATGGATTGTTATTAAAAAAAAAAAACAACCAACTATAGTTAACAGAACTAAGTAACAAAAGTTTACTTACAGTATCATCTTAAGGTAGATATGGGAAGAGGTTATGTTTTGGATCTGGGCAGGATGTTCCCTGAACTTCTGAAAAATCAGTGGTAGAGCAATGATAAAGCACACGTGCTTCATGAGAAATAACCTGTTACATCTGATCACAGCCTAATAATTGTGTATTTGGATGTTTGTATTTCCTCCTGAATGAAAGTAACCTCTGCTGTGTATTCCCTGTGCTACATTTTGTGTACATACCTTTGTTTTGGAACATTAAACAGACTGCCTTTAACTTTCTTGTAGCCACCGTATCCAGGTATGGAGCAGCCACCACACCATCCTTACTATCAGCACCATGCACCTCCACCTCAAGCTCACCCTCCATACTCAGGACATCATCCTGTACCACATGAAGCAAGATATAGAGACAAACGAGTAGTAAGTGTCCAAAAAGACAAGGGAAGGCAAGTCTGCAGTTTAGGTTAGAAATGGGAGGAATTTGGGGTACAGATGTAGGTAGCCTACCCTGAAACATGTTGACTTGGACAATACGGATCTTAAAAATACAGTTTTCTTTTGAAAGATACCTAGTCAAACTATATGAGTTATTTTCAGTATTGTTGAAAAGCTTCTCTTCCAGGTCATGTAGAAGTGAAACATTACCAGAATGTGGCATTAAACTGACATGTCTGCTTAAAATTGGCATACAGTTGTCGAGTTGTGAACTCCTTGTTGAAGCTCAGTTTGAATAAGGATGTAGCCTTCTATAATTGCATGCAGTCATGCACAAAAAGAAACTTTTCTGTTAATGGAGAGTTCTATAGCTCTTAAAGGCACATCAAAAACTAGAGTAGGTTGTTGAAAACTTCTGATTGTTGAGCTGTCCTCAAAAGCTGTTTAGCTTTCAGATCTCCTGCTGGTATCTGACATTTGAACCTCATTTTACTCCATGCACACTAGAAACACAGACGTATGGTGCTGCCCTGAAGATGACAGAAGAAACTTGTACTGATGGATGCATGTTTTCAGTTGATTTTTTTTGGTGGTTGTTTTGTTTTCAATTATTACTTTCATATTGGGCTTTCCGAAGAGTTACAGCCAGTCCTGTGGATAAGGACAGGGAGGGAATTTTCATCTGGCAAAGAAAATAAACAGCTGTCCTTTCATCACAGCACGACTATGACATGAGGGTAGACGACTTTCTTCGCCGCACACAAGCAGTTGTCAGCGGTCGGAGAAGCAGGCCTCGAGAGAGGGATCGAGAGCGGGAACGGGACCGGCCTAGAGATAATAGAAGAGACAGAGAACGTGACAGAGGCCGTGATAGGGAAAGGGAGAGAGAGAGGATTTGTGACCGGGACAGAGACAGAGGAGAAAGAGGTAGATACCGAAGATAATCTGTTTAGAACCAGTGCTCACTTGAAACAAAAAGAGCTTGTATTTTTTTGTGTGTTTACAAGTAGTACATTTTATTTTCAGCTCTCTACTTAAAGTTCATTGTGTAGAAAGATTTATAATGACCCTCTTTATTCCAAGCATGCAGTGAACTGTGAACTGGAAAAACTCAGTTTGGCCAAAACTAAATACGCAAAGCTGACACTTGACAATTCTATTGGAGCAGAATGGAAAACAGTCAAGAATGTACATACTGATTCTCAGTGAGTGTTCATCTACTTAGTAACTTCATTCTAGGTTTTTGAATACTGATGGAAAACTGCCATATATATATATATTTTTTTTGCTTTGATGTTTTCTTCCTGTAGTTTCACATGGTTCTGTGGGAGAATGCTGCTATCAAGTATGCAAATATTAAGAATGATTTTTGACTGACTGGCGGTGCCATAGCAGCTTTCTTCTTTTCTTCTTGTTTTTAACTGTCTGTAAAGTCAAGTGTTTTTTCAGTCTTCAGTAATGAAAGCAATATTACAAAGACAATATTGATATCTAATTTTTAACCTTTTTTTAAAAAAAAAAATCTGCCCGTGTTCAGTAACATTTTGGTCAATTATCTTGTCTAGTCTCCTTCCAAAATGTACACATTGCTTGGAATGTTCACAACCTGCGTGTGTGGAACAGGAAATATTGCTGTACTCTACATTGCTACCATTTCTTTTTTTTATATAAAAATAAATTGGTAACTGTTGAAATGGTTGATGCTCCAGACTGAATTTCTTGATCTTCTAAGCTTGCCTGCTTTCCTAGAATGTGGCTGTTCCAGGAAAGTATTGAGAAAATTGTTTAAAGGTAAATGCAGTAAGTGAAATTGATCAAGAAACATGAAGCAAAAAGGTAACTGCGTTTTCTGTTTCCTCAATGAGGTAGTTGATTAACGCAACTCATGCAGCTAATCAAAGTTAAGGTCTGACACTTCTAACTTAAAATGATCTCCGTGCTATTAACAGGCTGTTCTCAGCCACAATCGTATCTCTCCCGTATCTTCCTTGTACAGATTACTGCAGCACTTGTTATTTCTTGTAAATAGAAACTATTTCAATCTAAATGCTAACGGTATAGAACTGCGAAGAAAGATAAAAGTTATACAGGACATTTCTCTGTTTCTGTAGCAGTTTTCTAGTTCTCAAAACCTGCATCTGTAGCACTGCCTTTGTGGACTTACTAATAACCTTTATTTTTTGTCTTCTGATTTAATTGTCAAGTTATAGCACACTCTTTGTAGTCCTCCAGCTCTGCAGCACAGTATACTTGAGCTGTTTTAACAGAACTGCAATATAGAATTTGCCAGTGTCGCGATTGTGGAAACAGATGCTTTTTTAGAACTGACAGTGTTTTAGGCTTTGTGTATTTCAGTCTATGCTTGTATAGTAAACATGAGTAAAAAGTGTGACCTCCATGTAGAAATGTTCTTTAAATGCCTCAAGAAGTTTAACATGTTAAACTCCCTCAAAACTGAACTGAGAGATGTGCAGTAGAATTAGATTGGGCTGTCAAATTGAGCGTGCTTATTGTGGCCAGTTTGAGATGAGCACCACAGACCACCTACGTTCTCTGAGATATTTCACTGCTTCATTTGGAAATAATGGCTGCTGCAGGTTTTGTTGTGTTTTTTTTGTTGTTGTTGTTGTTTTTAAGCTTGACTTAAATTCAGTGCTTGATAAGCCAAATTACTCTGAGTGAGTAGGAGTCTGGCAGAGGGCTGCAAAGATAAGGGGTCTGGAGCATCTCCCATATGAGGAAAGGCTGAGTCATCTGCTCAGCTTGGGGAAAACTGAAGGGGGATCTGATTGATGTTTATAAATATCTAAAAGGAGGGGAGAGGCAAACTGATGAGGTCAGGCTATTCTCAGTGTTGTGTAGCGATAGTACAAGGAGCAATGGCTTAAAACTTGAATGCAGAAGAACTTTTCCCGTGCTCTGTCAGCTTCCTGTAGAGGTTGCCCAGAGCGGTTGCAGAATCTCCTGCTATGAAGATATTCAAGACACATCTAGGTGCGTACCTATGTGACTTACTGTAGGGAACATGCTTTAGCAGGAGGGTTCGACTCCATGTCTTGAGGTCCCTTCCAACCCTTGTGATTGTGTGAATTGAAGTACCTTCTCAAATCTTCAAAGTGCAGAACACTGTATTTCCTGTATCATTTCCTGTATCCTTTGTTTGCTCTGTCTGACCAATGCCAAAATGTACCAAATATATGTTAGAAATCTTACTGTCCTTATCATCAGCAGAACTAGTATTCTCAGCCAGTTTTCTACTTTCGAAGCTGGATGATGAGGACTTGGTGATGAAGTATGGTGAAGCTGAGCTTCAAGAGTCAGCTGTACGAAGAGGTTTTGTGAAACCTTTCTGCTCTACGACCCGATTGTTGTGTGTTCACTGTTAACATGCTTCTGCACATCCTGTTATGACCATGTTGGATTCCTAGTTACCATGTGAAACACTAGTAAGCTTGTTCTAATCACTCTAGATTGGAAACCATTCACTTACAGTTTTGTGGAGGTTTTTGTATGAAAATATTTCAGTGGAACTGAAGCTGCTAACAAAGGAGACGATTAAAAAGTTAATATATTGAGGGGAACTTTATTATGTAAACAAAGGTAATTTTTCTTAGTCTGTTTGAAAACAAATCTGCAACATCCAGAATACAACAAACATCAGTTAAAATCAAGGCAGATTCTTTAAGTATGCTGGCATAACAGTCGAATAGCCTCGCCTTCAGCAGGAGGCCTGAATAGCATCAGTTTTCATCAGTAAGGTATCCTTAAATAGTTTCAGTAGTGCAACAGTGATTTAACATCACTGTCTGAGCCATAGGCAGCATTATTTTCCCACCAGTATTTTCAGACAAGAGAAGTAACTATTGGGTTGTTCCCATGTGTGACATGACTACTTTGTTCTACCTCAAGGTTTTTGTGATTTGTCAGTTACTATGGCTCAGAGGATTTGTGGTTAACACAAGCATGTTACGTATAGGTTATTTTCACACACTTGTGGTGGTGTAATTGGAATGATGATGTGTGCAGTAGGAATCCAAGCCTACTGGATGGGAAAAAGGAGTGGTTCCCTGAGGAAAGGAAGCAGTTTCTCTACTGGTTTCAGGACTCAGATGAACTCTGATCTCCCATGTAACACTAAGTAGTGCATTTGTAGAAAGGGATGAGATAATCTTCTTTAGACTTTGGCAGCTCCCTGTCTTTTATGATGTTAGCCTTTCAGTTGGGTGTTTTTTTAAGAGCTTCACTGTTCAATCTGGAAAGGTATATAGGCAGGAGAGGTGTTTCGGTTTTGAATCACCAAGCATAGGTGTCTTTATGGGGGAGGACAGAGGCTAAGAAAACCAATTGCAGGACCACAGAAGGGCTGAATTTAAAAAGATTGCCAAACTAAATTTGAGAAGTTAGAGCAGCAATTACCATTTTAAGAGTACTGTGTGATCAGCTAACAGCTTCCCAAGGGATTAGACATCTATAATTCAATGTTATAGAGGCCAAAAGTGATTTGCTGGCTTAGCAAGCAGCTCTCTAACTGCTTTTTTAGTACAACCCAGTTGAATGAGGTGCTTCATGATATGCGTAACTTAAAGCATATCTTAATAATTGTATTTACCAAGGAATATGCAGAAATGCTTTACTGAAGCAGTGTATGAGAAGAAAGACTGCTGATGGGATCAACATATCTATTCTTTCTTTTTTTTGGTGACCCTACTACATTTTCTACAGCAAAACATGCAGCACTTGATAAGAATGAAGCCAGCAATGGCTGCACAGGTGAACAAGAATGCCAGAACATCCAGGCAGTGGTACTGGTACCAGGTAAGATGGTGAGCAGCTGGTCTCAAGTGCTTTGCTCCTTTGTGACGCATGACAAATTCAATCCAGAAGACAGCTCTCTCCAGAGGCTTAATTGGCTGGTCATGATGTATCTTGGATAACTTTAAAATACTTTCCTTGTAGCTGAAAAAAACAGACAGGAGATTTGTCACTGATTTCTGAAAACAACCCTGTTCCACCACTGGCTGTTGTCTTGAGGAAGGTAGGAAGTTCTGCTTTTACTTTCATCAACATTATATAAAAATATTTGAAACCAGCCCTGTTTATTCCTATCTGCACAGAACTTGAGATACAAACTTTAATAGAGAAAGTCAATCTTCTGCAAAGAAAAATTATGCCAAATGATTCCAGTTACTCTGTAAAAAAGCAATGTAAACTTTATTATATCTGTTCAGGTATGTTGCTACAATAACCTAAGGATACTGGAGACTCAGATAAGAGAACTGCTACAGCTCCATACAGAGAATAGGTAAAACAACTTTGCATTTTCATGCAGTGTATCCAAAGAATTTATGCTAGCAGTGAACAGAGAATCATCTCAGGATGATTCAGGATTGCTCTGAAGCTATCTTTCTCAAGGGAATCTTAAAATTCAATACAAAGTAGAATTGCTGGTCTCTCTTTTCTGAGAAGATGCTGATTCTTAGAAAAGGTTTGTTTTTTTTCTCTAAGACCCAAGTGCCAGCTACACAATATTCTGAGTTCCCAGAAGAGCCAGCATGTCTCATCAGCATGTCATCAGCAACCCAAGGTTTACATAACATTACTCTGGTGGAAGAATAAAACTCACGTAGAATTGTTAATGACTGTATTCACTGCATCGACTAGATCCTGCGTTGTCAGTGTGCTGAAATCCAGCTCAACTGCAGCTCCTTTTGCCCTCATGTGAGCAACGTTGTCATGCTGGTCAGCAAACATGGGAATCCCAACCATTGGGATTCCATGGTAAATAGCTTCATAGATTCCATTGGTCCCACCATGAGTAATGAAGGCCTTTGTCAAGGGATGGCCTGCAACAGGGAAGGTGAGACGTGTAGCAGCAGCAGGCCACATTCACAGGAGTATCAGAGCTGTCAACTACAGGAGCAAATGCACCCTGACTTCCGGGTGGGCACCAGAGCATGCTCTCTTAGCTTAACTCGCACGTTTGTGTTTGAATGCAGTATGTGAACTGGTATATTCCTCTAGACTATCGTAATATCTCAGCCTTTCTGTAGTCATGCTGTTATAGTTTTCACACTGGCTCAGGTTCATAATAGCCTCTTCTGCAGCCTTCTTGTTGACCTAAGATGCCTGATGTATTTTGAAGAATGTGCCCCGGAAATAAACTGCAGGGGATGAAGTCCAGAGCACGTCCTTTCTTATTGAAATTTCTTATTTCTTTCTTATTGAAATATTATTCTTATGTGGTTCTTAGTCCTTGCAGACTGATGTCACTAGGCTCTGTAAGACTAGGACTTTTCCTTAAGAGATCCATCTGTATAGCTAAGCTCAAATTGCTGCCTTCCTGAGCCACTGATCCCTACCCCTTTAGGGTATGGTTGTATCTTCCATGGTTCTTGTATAGCCCACTCACCATAAAGTCAAAAACAAACTATGAAATTGTTGAAATGAAATGGCTTCAAGAGCTAATCTCTGCTGCTTGAGGTACAGAAGTAACTGTAGCCATTAAGTGTTGGGGTTCTTTCACCCAAATAAGCCGTTTTAGCAGAAAAATAAAGGAAGTAGCTTTTCCAAGGGTGTAATTCATCCCAGATAAAGTCAGTCTCACCGAGCAGGTCATTTTGGGGTATCCAGTCATAAATCTTGGTGTTGGAGCCCAGGGCGTCTGGTTTTTTACCTTTGTATCGCCAGAGAACCTTTGAAGAAAGGCACACTGAGATAAACACTATGACTGCAGCATTATCTTCTGTGTTACTACGTGTAAAGCAGAGCATTATCTCAACATATTGACTCACATATTGTTTGTCAGTAATTCAAACAGCTTTGGCTCTAAGTTATATCTTCGGTTAGTTATTTTGGCCCATGACATACCTCCGCACCATTTGGGTTGGGAATGAGGAGGAGGAATACCTTATTTCTACCTGAGATGACTCAGCAGTCTGTTTCTGCAAAGCCCAGCTTCTGGCCATGGGATTTCCAGCAGAGATGCAGATAAAAATCAGACCAATCAAATGTAGGTTTGCTAAAGGAAGTGTTAGTGACAAAAAAAAAAAAAAAAAGGCAGGTTGTTTTATACTTGAAAGTAAACTCACATTTTGTGGAAGCTGGCTGAGCGCTTTGGCAATCACATCACTTTTTTCCTTGGTTAGGTTGTAGACCATTGACCCGAGAGAAAATATCACAATGCCATGTTCCCCTGAACTCTGAACAAATTCTTCAATTTCCTAGGGGGTAGAAGGCATACGAACAGTAATCACACAATGCATATTACACGGATTATGTGAAGAGAGAGTATAATTTATTTAGTTTATTAAGAAGATGATCGTGGTGTTAAAAGCACCTCTGCTGACAGAATGCTATTGCAAAGATACACATTGCCCTCGGCAGAACAGGCAACTTCTCCCCAAGAAGGGGCAAGACAAGCGTCAAAGCAAGCAGAAGAAGCTTTATCTCTTTGAATGCAAGTCAGGAAGTTTCAGGAAACGTTTCTTTGAGAGCATAACCAGCAGGAATGGATCCTGGCACTGGAGTAAGAAGGCATACTCAGGCATCCTCCCTGGCATAGTTTGTCATGGTATGCAGACCTTCAGGGGGATACATTGCTGAAAACTGACAGGTTGTTGCAGCATCCTGAGTAGTCAAGTCACTGCTGTCACTTTGATAGCCAGTTCTGCATTTCCTGTAGTATAGCATGTATTGCTAACCAGACTTAACCTCTGCTATTCTATGATTCTATGATCTTCCTGTTGCTTCTTTGAGTTAGTGTCATGTGAAATAAAGTAATAGTATCCAAAGGGGAATGGCTATACCTCTCTCTCAACTCAACCCTTGTAGCAGTTAAGAGTTGTAACAGTTAAGAATCAAGAAAACTTACTTTTTTTTTTTTTTTTCCTTCCTTTTCAGTAAGCAATTTATACTGCAAAATATCCTGCCTCCTAAAAGGCTCCACAGGGGTAATAATCTAGACCAGAGCTTCTTATGTCTTCATCATCATCAATATCCAGGAGTTTCAAATTCCACCTGAAAATTGCCAGTCATAGCAGCCTGGAAATGCGGAGTATTTTACTCCCTTAAAGATGCCTTAAGATGAGCACCAATAGAAAAAGTGTTTAACACTGGTCTCTTTCTGCAAGTCTTGGCTGTTTTGTCTAAAGAGTGTTTCTTGTCAAAGTGTCCTGCTGCACCAGTTTTATTTCTGTGTCTTAGAATTAAATTTTACACTTCACTGCTCTGAGTAACACCTGCTTCTCCTAAAACAAATACCATCTTGCTGACTCACCTATTGTCTTTTGACAGCAAGCTGTAAACCCAGCCCTAGTTTGTACAAGCCTGGGCAGATTGCTAACTAGCTCCCTCCTGCTCTCACCAGCAGCAGAACATCTGTTTTGAGAATGAGCTTTCTCATGACATGTCTTATCAGGGATGAAAACAGATTTTGTAGATAACCAGCCAATGGCAGAACAAAGTCAGAATACCTTTGGCAGTGGCTTTGCAGGCTGGCAGTGAAGTCCTCCAACGAACTCAAAGTTGGGCAGGAAAGGGCGAGGAAATTCAAAATCCCAGTATGTTCTGATTAGCCATATCTCTGCTTTCCCCATTGTGTCACACAGGGTTGTGGGCCTTCCTGTGGGCAAGGTACAAAGCGTTTACAGCAATCATGAGTATAATCTTGTTTGCAGTAGATTGCAAAATACTAGCCCCACCTTTGCATTTTGGTACTCCCAGTCAGTGTACTCTGACAAAGTGAGCAGGAAGAGAAAACCTGGGCAAATCTAGACCTATTCCTTGTCCCGTCCCTCTTCAGTCTTCTGAAGTTGCCGCAAACAAAGCAAAAGTATCTTTAAAACCATTCTGAACCTTCAGGATAAAAGTATATGAACAAGTTGGGAAGCATTTAATTTCTGTGCATTTTCTGTACTGCTGGAAAATGTAATCACCTATGCTTGTAATAAAAAAAAATTTGGAGGAAGAAAATGGTCACAGAAAACTTACGGCCACATAACATTAAATCACAAAGTGATGATCAGAAGTCAGGGAAGAAGAAAGTTTTTAACCACGTTCTTTTGTGTTTTTCAAATTATGTCTCAGTCTGTGGCTGCTCAGACTACAGTGAAAAAAACAGGTACAGTTAGCCCGAGTTCTGCTGGGGACTGGGAAAACTTCTGCTGAAATGTATAAAGAAAAATTGGCCCAAAATGTAGCTTCTGGAACACTGTTTTAGGAAAAATGTCTTTAGAAATTCATCTGCAGGGAAAAAAAAAAAGGGGGGGGGGGGGGGAAGCTCTTTTATAGCTTCCCATTTGGAAAATACATATTCTTAGGCACATCTTGCAAGTTCTCTGTGGTATTTTCCCTACAGAGTGGAAAAGGGTTAAAAGTGTTAAATGATCTTCCAAGGCCAATCTAATGCAAATAGTATCCAAGCAAAATAAACAGTAGGAGGAAAGTTGCCCATAGAGCAACTTAAACTACTTGATCAGCATTAAAAAGAAATAAAATGGTGGTGGTGGGTTTTTTTTTTAATATGTTACTATTATTTTTTTTCCAAAGTAAAGGGCAGTGACCCAGCTATAAAATGACAGGGGTGAAAATGACACCTGCATTACTACTGGAGTGATATAAAAGTGTCGCTAAGTTGTAGTGTGCAACTGTGAAGTCTTAATGGTAGAAAAGTTCAGCTCATGGAAAAAGGGCTAGTCTGGAAAGTAGAGGTGTTCGCTGAAAACAGAGAAAGAGATTGGAGGGCAATAGACTAGATGCCCTTGTGCCTGCTGTTCATTTGTTATCTGTTTGAACGTGGATATTCTAGACAAGGTTCAATGTCCATTTAACTGAAAGGTCTCTTTTATAGACTTTGAGTCACGCCATGTGCTGTAATAGGCTAGAACAGAAGTTTTGAGTATATAGATTAAGGAAACTGTATTTCAAACTCTGTACGATGACAGAAAGGTCTTCTTGGAGAAGACGAACCCACATTTAGAATCCATCCCAATCAGGGCTGCCAGATAGCACCTCCAGATGATGCATGCAACATGAATGCATGCAACTTTGCCCTTTTCATCCAATGACAGCCAGTGTTCCTAGTTAGAACAAGACTGGTTCAATTTCAATCTTGGTTCCATGTTACTAATGGAGCCATCTCCAGAAGCTGGCACTTAGTGAAACAATGATTTTACCTTCCAGTCTTTATCCACTACCACCTTAGCTGTAGAAGTGCCTGTCCTCAAAATTAAGAAACAACAGTTGTCCTCTGAATTCCTCTATAGGAACTACAACAGGCATGCAGCTCACAAGAAGAACTGACCAGCAGTACCTTTATTGACAAAAATTGCAACTAAATGCTCTAAACATCCTTAAATGGAAATGTAACAGGACTGCACTGGTATTTGTTAGGCTATACAAGCCTTAAAAGATAAAGCACAACCTCTGTCAGACTAACACAATTATCATCTCTGCTCTCCTAAGAAATAAGGTAAATTGTGCATTACTATGTATTGAAACTACTACAATTTTGAATGAAAAAAAATTTAAAAAATTGAATGAAAACACTCTGCTTAAAGTGTAGAAAAGAATAAAAGAAATCAGAGATCTGTTCATAGAATCATAGAATTGCTCAGGTTAGAAAAGATCTTAAAGATCATTAAGTCCAACCCCAACCTAACCATACTACCCTAACTCTAACAACCCTCAGCTAAATCATCCCTGAGCACCACATCCAGACAGTTCTTAAACACATCCAGGGATGGTGACTCAACCACCTCCCTGGGGAGCCTATTCCAGTGCTTAACAACCCTTTCTGTAAAGAAGTGTTTCCTGATATCCAAACTAAACTTACCCTGGTGCAACCTGAGGCCATTTCCCCTCGTCCTGTCACCTGTCACCAGTAAGAAGAGACCAACCCCGCTCTCGCTGTAAGCACCTTTCAGATATTGGAAGAGAACAATAAGGTCTCCCCTCAGCCTCCTTTTCCCTAGACTAAACAGCCCCAGATCCTTCAGTCTCTCCTCATAGGGCACATTCTCCAAGCCCTTCACAAGCCTTGTTGCCCTTCTTTGGACCTGCTCCAGAACTGCAATGTCCTTTCTGTACTGAGGTGCCCAAAACTGAACACAGTACTTGAGGTGAGGCCTGACCAATGCTGAGTACAGGGGCAGGATTACTTTGCTACTCCTGCTTACACCATTCCTGATACAAGCCAGGATGCCATTGGCCTTCTTGGCCACCTGGGCATGCTGCTGGCTCATATTCATTTGACTGTACACCAAGGTCCCTTTCTGTAATGCAGCTTTCCAGCCACTCCTCCCCAAGCCTGTAGGATTGCCTGGGGTTGTTGTGACAAAAATGCAAGACCTGACACTTGGCCATATTGGAACCCATACAGTTAAACTTGGCCCATCGATCCAGTCTATCCAGGTCCCTCTGTAGAGCCCTTCTCCCCTCAGGGAGATCAACACTCCTTCCCAACTTGGTGTCGTCTGCAAACTTCTACATCAAATGAATGCAGCAGATGTTAAAGAGAACTAAAGTATAGAAGCGGAATGGAGTTGTGTCTGTGACACAGCAGAGACTAGTGTCTTCAACTACTGTAGTAAACTACAGCCTCCTTCAGAGACCTTTCCCTCCCGTCTATCATTGATGGAAGGAGCTCAGTGTGCTCTCTTCTAACGCAGGACTACATCTTCGGGGAGGTCATCTACAACACTGAGACATTTTAAGGAAATATTCTGTGACTATAGCACTAAGCTCTCCAAACATTCAAAAAGCACAATTTATGCATGAGAGACTATTCAACAGCTGCCTTACCCAAGACATTACTGTAGTATCCATCCCATTCATCTCGCCAAAACTTTAAGAAAAATAAATCCATGGCAAAGTAAAAGAAGAAATTCTGCAGTCTCTCCACAAAGGACATCTGGTCTGTCAACCCTGTTGTGCTAGCAGGCACATAAGAAGGTGGAGATGGGAGTCCACCACACAGCCGCTCTACCACATTCCCCTCCGAAAAACGGAAACTGTAGACAAAAGGGATTGCCAGGAGTTCTGCTGCAAGCTCACCACATACAACTAGAGGGTCAGCTATTAGAATATCAAACTTGGCCTGATGCAGCCTTGCTATCAGCTCAGGATTTGACACCAAGGCATCACAGGAGTGCTTTGACAAGTTGGAAAAGGAGTATATGGCTTCTTTCATCTTCCACATAGTCGTCCAGGGGAACAGATTAGGGAGGTCATTTATCCAGAGATTGAGGAAGTTCTCCAAGAGAGTATCCAGGGTCTCTTGGGTGATGTTCACTTTCAGGACCTCAAAGGTGAAAGGAGATGACGTGTCTTGGTAGTCAATGAGCAGATTTACTGATGGTACCAGCACAGTTACTTCATGACCCCGGAGAATGAGCTCTTCCAACAACACTTTCATGTTGATCCAGTGACTGGCATCGGTGGGCCAGACCACCACCTTCCCACAAAAGCCAACACTCCAGCAGCATGCAAAGGTCCAGAGTAGCCAGGAGAATCTTTGCCTCATCATCTCAACAGTCCACACACAACTCCAGTCTGAGCATGCTTGAAACAGTTACACTACTTTAGTGTGCAATCAACTTTGGAAACAGCCAGTAAAAATGAGATTCACTTGGTGCCAGCCTTGTCAAGAGAGTGCGTCAGTACAGTTAACACCACCTGAAGCAACTGGGCAAGCAGTAAATCCTGTTCTGGAATCTCCTGCAAATCTGCAGACAACCTCTGAAAATGAAAGCAAATCCTGTTTCTGCCCACCAGAAAGTGCAGCCTGCAGCATGCAAGGCCCAGAAGCCCTAACCCTGCTGCCAGATCTTCAAGGTACACATCCCTGTGCACAGCAGTTCAGGCTAGGGGAGCCCAAGGAGCTCAGTCTTTTCACCTGATTACAGCCCACATTTGCTTCTTTGCCCTTTAAGAACCAAACTACCTGTATTGTCTGGTTACGGTTTTAATCTCCTGATTTACTACGTGCAGACACAACATCATGTTGTGATTCACAACAAATCTGCAGTGTTCTCTCATCCTATATTCATCATTACCAGATGCTGTGGGCTCATTACTGGAAGGGGACAGTCCTGGCAGAGGTCATCACAGCATCAAGGCCATTCCATGGAAGAAAGAGGAGGAAATGGAGAGCTTGGGTTTTGCTCACCTTCTTTGCCCCTCACTGTTCAGGGCAGTCCAACACAAGAATCCTAATTTCCCCTCCTGAAGGCAATCCCACAGATAGATCAAAGATGCCTTGTGCCACTGATGTGTAAATGGAAGAGAACAGGCATCTGCTCTTTCCTGAGCAGAAGGATGAGGCTTATGCTGAGTTGAAGTAGGGCCTGGGTACTCCTCCAGGAGCCCAGCACCACTACATGGGACCCTCACTGGACTGATACAGCTCAGACAGGAGATACAGCAGACTGCAGTCAGTGAGAAGTAGGCTTACATAGAGTTTGTACGTATAACCTTAAGTGCTAATGCACACATATTATGACTAGTAGAAAACCCAATAAATCACTCATTTAAGGCAGCCTGAAGCTGACACAGCCTAGGTTCAGCAAAATGCATTGCTTCCAGCACAAGGCTGTCTAGCTGCTGCCAAACTTGATAAGCAACACAAATAAATATGTAGCTAGTACTCCAGTAGTAAGACTTCCTGCCAACTTTGATCTCTCAACAAAACCACACACTACTACAGATCTGAAAAATAAAGGCACTTAAATCTTCACATGGAAATAACAACCTTTTAATTCCTTCTCCCCCACCACAAAATAAATAAATAAATTTCTTAATTAATGAATGAAGATTATCCTGTTTCCTCCTAATCATGACAAGAACTCTTTAAAATAAAATTTAAAAATTAGTTCTGCAGTTGTTATTAGATAAACAAGTAAGCAACTCCAAATACTTCTTTAAGATACCTTCAAAAAAGCCAAATACTTTTTTTCCTTGCTGCGGGGGGAATTGTATCACTGCCCATTGAGACTCAGTGCATTGCACTCTTCTTAGACTGCAGGGACAGCTGCTCTTCCAAATCCATAAAGACCTAGGGAGCCTGTTTTATCTTCATTATGAGGAGAGCTAAGGAGTGAGCGTGTTACTAAAGGAAAATGAGGTAACTTTGGTAGATAGCCTTCTAAAAAATGTATAGCTTTCTTCTTAAGAAATTTTAGCTCAGTAGTAACATTTGGTAGAAATGCAGTGGTATTCTTCTCTGTGTCTGTTGCATTTGACTGACAGGCTGTTTCAAGGGGTATTAGCATTTGATAGGTTTGCCTATGTTAAAAGTACCTGTATGGTTGTACCTGTAGGTAGAAACAGGTAATGTTTGTTCTTGCCTGGCTTGTTTGCTGTGACACAAATATTTTGGAGGAAAGAAATTCAGGACTGCCTTGGTCCTAACTTGTACCTTGGCACCAAGGCTCTGGGTTTGCAGACCAATGTGTAAAGCATGTGTAATCTCTGCAAGTAAGAGCAGCCTTACCTAAAATATCACTGTAGTATTGATTCCAGTGTCTCCAGAGAATGTAATGGTATGCGAGGTCCTGCAGAGCATAGGAGAACATGTTTTTTATCCTCTGTGTGTAGGTCATCCTGTCTGTTAGGGAGCTTAGGCTGGCTGGCACGTAGGAAGGAGGAGATGGGAGCTGCCCGCAGAGCCGCTCCAGTGTGTTGCCCATGGAGAACCGGATGGTGTATATCAAAGGGATACCCAGCTTCTCTGCAAACAGCTCCCCGCTGGGCATCAGTGGGTCTGCCAGGAGGACATCAAAGGCAGATGCCCTCAGCCTTTCCATAAGCACCTTGTTCTTCACAACTCCATCACAAATGATTCTGGTTACATTCTCTAACTTGCGTAGCACGTCAATCATCTTGTAAGCACTTTGCCAGAAAGGTAACCTTCTCTCCTCGTAGAACCAAAAATAGAAACCTTCCTCCATTGTGGCAGCCATCTCACTTTTGCTGATTGGCACCTCGACCATCTCAAACTGGAAAGGTGAGGGCTCGGTGCCATTGAGGATAAGGAAGCACGAAGGCAGCAGCACAGTCACCTCATGGCCCCGGACTACAAGTTCGTGCAGGATAAATTCCACGTTGAGCCAGTGGCTGTTGTCAACTGGCCAGACCAACACCTTCCCACCAGACACGGAGCCCAGCACAGCCAGCAGCCACAGCACAGCCACCTTCTTTCCTGACATGATTTACAGTGCTTCTCAGTGCCTCAGTGGCCTTGCTTCCTCGGGAGCAGCAGAGCACACTGAAATGGGCTGGGCCTGCATGACAGGGCAAGGCAAAGAGCCAAGGTAGCTGGTGCAAAATCCCGTCGTGGATAATAACATGTTTTCCCAGGGAAAACATGACTGGAACCAGTTGGCTCCATCTGGCGGCTAGTGACCTGATGAAGCTGGAAGAGGTTTCCTCTGAAGCAATGCAGAGAACTGCGAACTCAGCCCTGTGGGGGTTGGCTTTCTGAGCTGTCCTGGCTTTTATGCCTATCTAGCTATCATCTGTGTTATTTTTGGTACAAGAGGTGACTTTGTCATTCCTCTGGCAGCTCCAGTGGCAAATGATGTTCAGAGAAATGTTCACCCACTTGTGCATCTTTTTGCCTTGTGAAGCCACTGAGCATCTGTTTGCAGTACGCTTAGCATGGTGATCCAGGGTTGCAGCTGGCAAGCTGATCTCCACGTAGATGAGATGATGTGGTAAAGCAAGCAACTTCTGTGTCAGAATAAGGCTGTCCTCACATGAACTTTCCTCCTCCACAGGTGTCCTGAAAGGAGACTGGAGCTGCAAGTTGATGGCCATGGGGCTGTCCTGTCTGCCAGCAGGTCCCAGTATTATGCTGTAAGTAGAACCAGAAGCTCTGCTAAGCTGCTTTATTTACAGCCGTACTTCTGATTTCCAGGTAAGAAATGATGTGTGACTTCTTCACTGTGCCAGAAATAATCATTGTGGTCCTACCTATTTTTGTTTTCCCGATCATGTCATTGGGCAGAGCATTTTCTGTGCATCCTGTGCTGTCAAGAGCACCCTTTCCAGCATGCAGGGGAAGTGAAAGTGGTGGTCAGGCCCTGAGAAGCTGAGCTGAGGCTCCTGTCTACTGCACACATGACAAGAGCTTTCTGTGCTTGTGGAGTCCTGCAGCATACAGGCATATTGCGTCCTGTGAGACTTGGAGGTGCCCTGTTACACAGGGTTGGTGTGAGCTCAGTAAACATGTCATGTTGACTGCGTACTTACCCAAGCACATTTTTCTATATATTTGCTCAGAAGAGTCCAAAACAAAAGCCTTTGAGGAAGGCTTGTTATTTTTACTGTTCCCCTGTAGGTGGAAGGTCCGTTTGCACAAAACAAGTTGTATTTAGAAAGGATTGGTTTTCTTTACCAGTGATGTAAGTGAAGTCTATTGCAAAAGCACAGTGCACCTCAGTTGTTATTGAGGGTCAAGGCAGGCTTGTAGCTCACCTAGTTGTGATGCTTTGCCCCAGGAAAGCAGTTCTGTTGTGTGCTTTCAGTGTGAGCATGGGAGGGGAAGAAGTATGAGCTGAGCTCTCCATGCTGAGAGCGCACTGTGCTGGGAAAGTTTCTTAAGACTCTACATTAGAATTAATTATGGCAAATCCCTCAGTTGGAATGCCTGCAGATTCCTGTCTTCACACAGTACCATGCCAGCACGGCATCCTGACAGGGGTGGGTGCAGTTGATACGAATGTACTTGACTTGGGCAGTTTGGCGAATGTTGACTTAAGACTGTAAGGATTGCCTGGATAGATTGAAGCAGGATCTCCAGAAAAATGCGGCTTCTGTTTTGTAGATGGTATTAATTATTTTGGTCTCAGAAATCACTCTGGCCTACTGTTTCAGACAGCCATTACATGCTGTATATAAAAGGTCAAAGAATCACAGAATCATTAAGGTTGGAAAAGACTTCTAAGATCATGCAGTCCAACCTCCAGCCCACCCCCACCATGCCCACTAACCATGTCCCTCAGTGCCACATCTCTGTGTTTCTTGAACACCTCCAGGATCAATGACTGTACCACCTCCCTGGGCAGCCTGTGCCCATGTCTCACCACTCTTTCTAATAAGAAATTTTTCCCAATATCCAACCTGAACCTCAACTGCCTGACTCTTTTCACTGGTGGCTTACCCACTTTTCCACATATTGACAACAATGAAAAATTTGTTGGTGGCCGTGTGTTGATTGCTTCCCCTTCCAGGCCTTCCCTTTGCCACCCTCTATGCTCCCAGCTCTGTAGCTCACAGTATGGGAAGCTGAGTAATAAGAAGCTATGTAGCAACAGCTTACCTAAGATCTTGCTGTAGTAGATGTCCCATTCTCCCCAGTAGCTCTGGAAAATGTAGTCTTGCAAGTGATAAGACAGGATATTTTTAATTCTCTCGCCAAAGGACATGTGGTCAGTGAGTTCAGACAGGGCCGCAGGTGTGTAGGATGGTGGGGCTGGGATTTTGCCACAGTGCCTCTCAACAGTTGAGGCTGGAGAGAAGCGCAGGGAGTACACGAAGGGCAGTGCCAGCTTGAGAGCTACGAGGTCCCCGCAGAGAGTAACTGGGTCTGACAGTAGCAGGTCATAGTCAGAGTCCTGTAGATGAGCCATCAGCTCCCGGTTAGTCAGCACTGCATCGCACATCTGCCGGTTGACCTGGTGCCAGCTTTTAGACACTTTCCCCAGCTCTCTGTAAAACTGCCAGAAGGTTGAGGCTGTTGGCCTGTTGTTCAGCCACAGTGCCACAATCTCCTCAATCAGGTTTGCAATGGTGTCTTTCTTGAAGGGCACGTTAAAAACCTCAAATTTCTCAGTGGTTTCAGCCTTTGGCTGAATGAAGAGGGAAGCATTGGACACCAGGATGGTGACACTGTGCCCACGGCGGATGAGCTCCCGAATAACCGTCTTCACGTTTAGCCAGTGGCTGCCCTCCGTTGGCCAGACCAGCACATTCCCACAGAAGACAGGTGCTACCAGAGCCACATAGAAAGCAAGAAGCTGGAGGCATTTCTTGGAGCTGGTGGCTTTTGTGGCCATGGCAGAATTGAGGACTAGATAGCCTGGCAGCTTTCTCTTTCAGCTGGGAGCACTCCACCTCTGCGTTGTCTGTGAGAGTCTGCTGCTGCTTGAGCAGGGCCTTTCAAACCTATGTGGTCTCTGAACCAAAGACAGGAAAGGATGCTTGGTGATTTGCTTTTCCCTTTCTGTTTTCTACCATTAACCTCCCCTTGACGGTACTCCTTTCCCTAGATAGGGGTGGCAGCAGTCCCAGCGCTGTCAGAAGTCCCTGCTTCCCTCAGACCCGTCCATTTGCACAATAATTTAATTCTTTGTTTATTGTACTTTTTTAGTTTCTCCCTGAAGAGATAAAATCCTTACTGAGGACATGAAAGCAAATAATAGGGATTTTCTTCCACTATATAGGTGCTATATTAGTCAGTAACTGCTGGTAGATATGTAACTATGACAAAATAAGTGGTATCTCTGTAAACACTGACGGAATATTGAAATTTGCTGAAGAATGCACAGCCATATCTGACTTGAGGCCTGTTTTCAATTGCAAAAGCCATGATGCCTGCATACTTTAATGTTTCTACCTTTTATGGTACAAATTAGGTATGCAAAATATATTTTTTTACTCTTTATTCTCAGAATATGCACAGGGTTCTGCTGAGCCAACACCAGCTGTGCTGCAGGAACTGTGTGCATGAAGGTGTGTCCAGACTTGGGGCAAGAGCCAGGGGCTACACAAGCCAGATGGACACCTGTGATGGGACTAACAGGAAAAAAGTGATGTTCCAGGCATCAGTAAGCCATCTCAACCCTTTTACACTGTTTAAGTAGTACAAATCATGGCAGTTCTGGTGCTGAACAGTCATTGCTGCTGTCTGGGGCACATCAGCACTATGACATTGGTAATATTGTAGGTTTGGTTTGGATATCTAACGATGGGTCTGACTACCTCCTAGCTGCCAGAAGTGCTTCTTGAGTTGGAACCTGAGCATCTTCTGGGCTGTCTCTCTTTTGGAAATGTAAGCACTATGTCTTGAAAGGAGCTTTTAATCACTAGGAATCAAAATGGGACAGAACATGGTATGCTCAATCTAACATGGTTCAGCAAGTTGAAAGAAGCAATGCCATGCAGCAAATCTCTTACCTAGAAGAGCCTTCCAAGGTGCAAAATCATCACTGTGCTCTGGTTCATACGATGCAATGTGCTGTGCTGGTTTGCTTCTGTGTGTTGCAGCTCACCTGCTCTGAGCCTGGGCAGCTCTGGCAAGGCTTGGCACTGGGCAGGACTTTAAATAAGTTTCACCCTGAACATGTATTTTCAATAGGAGGGAGTAATACAATATGGGATGATCATAAGGAGGCATGTCTTCCAGGATTATTCATTGTTTTGTTGTGCTTTGGTAATCTAATAGTTTGGATGGTCTTCTCTGTGCTAGGGAATATTGTGATGTTGATACAGAGCCAGATTCTCAGAAGGATTTGCATCCTGTAGCTCAGAGATACGGTTTCTGAGGCTAAAAATATTTTTTGCTCCCATTAAGGTCCTAGCTGTTATAAAAAAAAATTGGTTGTTATATAATAGACTCACTTACAAACTGGAACAAAGAGTATCTTGTACTTTGTTTGCAAAGCTTTTCAAGAGTTGCATGTTAGCCTTGCTGTTAAGTACTGCGAGTGGCATTTGGTCCAAAAGTTGAGGTAAATGTTACTAACTGGTAACTATACAAATCTGAAGATACATCTCTATATTTATCTTAAATTTTGGCTGTAATACATAAACTTTCTAAACCCTCTGTTTGGGGCAATTATACCACCATGCAGCATGTTGTGACAGTAACTGGCTTCACCTCCAGCAGTTTTTCTGCAACTGTAGAATCAGATAATGGCTTAGGTCGGAAGGGACCTTAAAGCCCATCCAGTTCCAACTCTCTGCTGTGGGCTGGTTGCTACCCACCAGATCAGGCTGCCCAGGGCCCCATTCAGCCTGGCCCAGGGATGGACATCCACAGGCTCTCTGTGCCAGTGCCTCAACACCCTCACAGTGAAGAGTGTTTTCCTTACATCTGATCTCTATCTACCATCCTTTAGTTTAAAACCATTACTCCTTGCAGGTGGAATCTTGTGAGTGGAGTAGAAGATAACAATAGCCTCCCTCGCTCTGCTGGCCATACTTCCGATGCAGCCCAGCATGTGGTTGGCTTTCCAGGCTGCAAGTGCACACAGGGCTGCTCTCAATCCACT